AGGAAGACTGAGAACATGCGGTTCTGCATGTCACCAACAGTGTTGCCAAGCTGCCAGAATGTCTGATGATATGTTAGTTAAATTCTCACAAAGTTAACGGCAAACTTACAAATCCATTGAAAATACCAACAACAAAGCTGACAAAGATCTTCGAGTAGATGTAGGAGGGGTCGCGCCAGTATTGAGTAAAGAGGCGTTTTGTGAGCATGGTTGTCTGCAACATAACGGGCGCTGCAAATTCGTATTGAGTTCCCACTTCTGGGGCAGGAAGTTGGCTTCGCTCCTTATTAATGCGCTCGATCTCTAGGGCGAGCTCTCTGTTATTACTCGAACTTCTCCACTCTTCGTTCCAGTCGACGACCTTTCCATCTCTGTAGCCTCGCTTGGCTGCGGTTTCCAGGATAAACTCTGCCACATTCTTCGAAGGTGGGCAGACAAATCCCCTCTCGGCGAAGTATTTAACAACTGCAGACCCACCCTCGCCGACAGGACCGAAGTAGAAGGTGTTTCCACCGGGGTTCAGAGCTAGAATCATGTCGAATTGGTTGATAAGCATGGAGGATGGCTGATGGATGGTGCAGACGATTGCCTGACCAGCAAGAGAAAGCTTCTTTAGGAATCGGATAATTGAGTACGCAGACTGGCTGTCCAACCCACTCGTAGGCTCATCGAGGAACAGCAGTAGACTCGGCTTGGCAGCTAGCTCGACACCTATGGTCAGTCTCTTCCGCTGTTCGACGCCGAGAGAGGATACAATTGCATCCTGGATATCCTCAAGCTCTAACAAGTTGATGATCTGGTCAACATAGGCTATCTTCTCCTCCCGGGGCACAGTGCGATCCTGGCGAAGAATAGCCGAAAACTCGAGTGATTCCCGGATAGTCGCTGTCCCATCGTGCAGATCCATCTGTTCACAGAATCCAGTAGAACGTTGGAAATCAGGCCCCAGGGCCTTGCCATCGACCAACATATCTCCACTAATGACCCCGACGGTTTGCCTTTGGGCAAGGGTATTGAGAAGGGTAGTCTTTCCGGCACCCGAGGCACCCATTAACGCTACCATCACACCTGGCTTGACATAACCACTGATGCCATTCAAGAGCTTTTTCTCGCCGCCGTCGTACGGAACGGTATACTCCACATTGGACCAAGTAAACACACGGTCGCTGTTGGTCAAGGTCTCGGCACTCTTCTCACCTTCATTGATAGTGGTTGGCTCAACAACCGCACTAGGCTGGCTGCCGCCTTCCATGTCGCCCACAGGTGTCTTCTCAGATACAACAAGCTGCTTAGCCTTGCGCGTCTTCTTGAAGGACAACGCGCCGCCACCTCCACCGGTGAATGATACTTTCTCAGCAGCGATGGCTGTAATAAGCGTGTACAATACAGTGAAGGCGATCACGACACCAAAATTGCGCCATAAATGCTCCCTCGTGTAGCCAAAAGATGCGGCGAGATAATTGGATCCAGAAACGGTGGTGCTGCCAATCTCAGAGCCTGGTAGCGTACAACCTTGAAACTCGCGCGATACACCTGGCCCTTGAGGAACCAGCTGCGAGTCGCTGCATATCATGTCTCGTCCGGAGAATTCGTTTGTAATGACGGCCTCATAGGCATATGATATAGGATTGACGTAGTAAATCCATCCGAACCAAATGTACTTGTTGACGAGAAGAGGTTTTGGGATGACATATCCGACGAATATGACCAATAAGTTGAGAGCAACTCCTGCGAAGCGAACAGCGTCATCGATGCTTGGTGAAACTGCAGCAAACATGCGATACATCGCAGTAAGGCACAGAGTTGTGACATAGACGAAGAGAATATATATGAAGAATTTCGCCGCAGTCATGTCCATGCTACTCAAAAAGAAGGTAATGATGGCGAATACAACAACTTGACTGAGAATGAGGGGAATGTCAACCACAGCGCGAGCAATCGACACTGCCGAGGGCCGATAAAAGGCGTAGTCCTTGTGACGGGCAATGACGACTCTGCCAGAGACAGCCTTCATCAGCTCAGTGAGTTGAAGCCAGCCAGGGAACACAATAGAGAAGAACAGCACACCGCTGCGAGAGAAAGCACCGCTGGTATCGAGAGGCTGTCCATAGAAAAGCGACCCGACGATGAGGGCGTTGGCAATGATGACGAAGAATTTAGTATACAGAGACGTCTTGTCGCCGAGGGTGAGCCAGAACTCGCGCTTGGTGCACGCGATGACTTGACGGTAGAATGATACGGTGTAGCTCGACTCCTTCGAGACGTGCTTGCTTTTAGATTGATTGACAGTCTGCTCAAAGCGGCGGGTGTCGGCGTTGTCGGTCTCTTGTATCCTGGCTTCGTATCCACTGACATCTTGAAGGAGACGCTTATAGCTCTCGCTAGCTCTAAACACAGTCTCGAGTTCCTGTGCGGTCTTTGGTGTGGAGGCCTCACGGCCGGGCTGGAAGCGCCTCGCGTTGGGGTCGCAAAGAGAAGTGAGGAAGTCAGATGTTGTCTCTCCAGGTGTGCACAGGAAACCCAAGCTTTCGAAATATTCCTTGGCTTCGGTAGCAGGGCCCTGATACAACATCCGTCCCTCCTCAATAACCAGAACCTTGTCCATGAGATCGTAGATCCCCTCGCCAGCCTGGTAGAGCGTGACGAATGTGGTTCGGTTGCTGACATCAGTCATCACCCGCAAGGACTTTGCGTAGTCAAGAGCAGTGCTGGCGTCGAGACCTCTCGTCGAATTGTCCCAGCAGACAACTGTAGATTTCGTCGCCAGAGTCTCTGCAATGCCGACACGCTTCCTCTCTCCACCAGAAACTCCACGGGAAAAGGCGTCTCCGACAAGGGTTTTCTTGGTGTGGCTGATACCAAACATCTTCATGAGGGCATTCGCAACAATGGGGATACTATCTTGGTCCTGCTTCTTGGTCTTGTTCATCAGAGCGAATTTCAGGGTCTGCCAGACATTGAGCGATGGGAAATGCTGGTCATCCTCCGGGTTATAGTTGACTTCTCCACGGTAAAGTTTGTGCTGCACGTCAGCGGGAATGCCTCCGTATGTGACATCGCCGTTGACTGCCACAAAGCTGGAGCGTTCATTGGCGATGGTTTTCAAGAAAGTAGAGCATCCGGAGCCAGGCCTTCCGAGGACGAGCATCATCTCGCCATCGCGAACCGCACCGGTGAAATCATGGATCAGATTCCTCGTAGGTGGCGCCTTTCCAAATTTGAGGGCAGGAATGAGATTGGATGCGTGGCGGTACAGATCCGGACCCAACGAACCAATAACAGCATCGGGCAAGGTCTTCACAAAGGTAGCAGAGGAGTTGACTCCCACCACGGTCATATTTTTGAAGACAACTCCGACCTTCTTACCGGCATCTCCAGCAGTCGTGCGGCGCTCGAGCTGACCACCCAGCAGAAAGCGGTCGAGCTGAAAGTCTTCTGAATCGTCAGGTTCGCCAGCAATGTCGGCCTCGTCGTCGGCCAGCTTCTTCCTCTTGCCTGCGGCCGATTGGGTCCTCTTGTGAGACTCCAATTTTGATAATTCCTTCCTCATCTCAGTCAGGTCCTCGATGGCTCCATAGCGGGACACGGCCTCCTGGTCGTCGTCTTCGCCCCATGTTCCTCCACGAATACTCTCTTTTGAGGCGACTGAGTGGACGGCAGTTGATCCCAGCGGTGTGGCATTGTAGCTGAGGACGTCGTCGTCTAGGGGAGACGGAGACTCAGCGCGGGTCGCCATGGCTGGGTTCGGAGGGGGGTAATGGTATGATTCTGGAGATAATCTTCATAGTAGCTGGGGAAGTGAAATTTATGTATATATAGATAAACAAAACAAGGGTCACAGCGGGAGATGGCGTAGGGGGAGCTAGCATAGGGATCTAAGGCCGGAGATAAGACGCCACGCAGGACGGAGCCGGATTCCGCAGTTGAGTAACTGGATTAGGCACGCTTAGGGTAAACTAGACAGGAGTTCCTGGGTCGTTTCAGCAGTGTTGATGACTGTTTAGGACTATTTGGGATTGTTTAGGACTGATTGTGTAGTACCCAAGTATTCCCTCGTGGGGTTATGGCTGGGATAGATACATCGACACTATTAGATAGAGGATGAGTAATGGTGAGTAGTGGGGGTTCCAAGAGGCAGAAAGAGCCACCGGCGGACGACCAACGGCCCCTAAAAAAGAGTTAAGAGCGGCTAAGATACACTAATGCAGCCTAACCACGAGTCATAGTACGCTAGGAGATACTTCAAGGAGATACCGCTACGCATCTCCTCTAGGGCAAACCAGATAGACTCTGGAAAAGGACCAGGGGAGATGGATTATAAATCAAAAGGTGGGTGCACTTGATTGGAAATCAACCTTAGAAGGCCGCATTTCCTAGCACATGCGGCCAGGGGATTTCAGGGATTCAAGGATTCAAGGATTCACGCCCTACGGAGTACTAGACTAACGCGGCGTGACGAATTCGGGGGTGCGGCGTAGCGAGTAGCGAGTCCGTTTGTGAAAAAAGCGAAGAGATTTTTAGGATTGCCGATGGGGGAAATATGGAAATAATGGGTTTTAACTTTTTCTTAGCGCCTTGGACCCTTAAACCCGACCGCCGCACGGCGACCGCGACCACCCAGCGTCCAGTGAACATTGCTTACCACAAGTCACGGCAGATGGGATGACGTCTTTTTATGCACTGTGCGCACTGCTGCTGCGTGGACCTATTAACTCCGCCGAGGATTATCCTGCGGGCGGGTTACTCTACATGGTATCGCGTGGGTGAGTGATTAACCACTATAATAGCGGAATGGAGAGCCGCAGTCATAAAACAAAGCTGGGGATTGGGGATTCTGGCCGGCCGAACTGTGGTCGAATGGTAAACACAGGATGATTATAAATAAACCTTACGCATCAATCTCTCTGTAAATACCTCGCGATGCCCATCCATCTCGAAAATGGTCGAAACGTCAGCAAGGATGATAAATAAACTTTACGCATTTGCTCTCTCTATTTACCTCGCGATGGCCCATCTCGCAAAATCCATCTCGCAAATGGTCGAAATGTTGAAAAATAAACAAGGATGATAAATAAACTTTACGCATTGCTCTCTCTCTATATACCTCTCGAAGCCCATCTCGAAAAACCCATCTCGCAATAGCCATCTCACAAAACCCGCCCTTTATCGTGTAATTCAAGTATCATACACGTACGCCCGAACAACATGGGCTACCCTCATCAGCCAACGAACTAGTCTCGCTTTCTCTCCTCTCGTGAGAGCCTTGCACTCCCGTCGCACCACAGTGGTTGATTGGTATCAATCGATATGTTGGCGTCAACATATCACATATCACTGCGGCACGAGAACCGACAGCTCATAAATCTCGCCTGCCTGAATATTCCTAATCCTCGCCTCTGGCAAGACCTTCTCCCCTTGCGTAACCCTTACTTCCTTCACCTCGCTTGAGCGGCGGATATCCAAAACAAACGTGGCGCCTCTAAACAGACGTGTCACCTTGATAGCATCCCATGCAGATGGCAACTGCGGCTCGATGCACAACCCCTCCGCATCACCACGCAGACCGCACAGGCCCTCGACAAAACAGCGGTAAGCCCACGACACTGTACCCGTGTTGAACAACTGACTTGACCTCCCCGCAGTTCTTGGGAACTCCTTCCAGGCGCCACGGTAATAGTTAGGGATGAACACGGGGAGCTGCCCGCGCTGTAAATAATCCTCTTCAGTTGGCCCAGGGATCATCTGCCGTAGTAGCTTGTAAGCGCGGTCCTTCTCGCCGATGCCGTATAGACTGTAAATGTAGAAGACGGCCGCGTGGTTGTACACGGAGCCATTTTCCGCAGACCCAGCGTGCTTCTGCGTCACGCGTCCCACGTCCTCGCGCATACCGCTGAATGGGGGAGCAAACATGACAACACCATACGGTGTGCTCAGCTGCTCATCCACCTGTGGCAGCATCTTTTCGCGCTGCTCGACGCTGGCTGCGCCGCTGAGAATGGACCATGCTTGCGGGTTGAGCCAGATGCGGCCTTCCTTGTCTTCCTTGGTCCCAAAGACTACGCCGTCGTCCGTGATGCCGCGTGAAAACCAGTCCCCATCCCACATATACTTGTTGGCAGCTGCGTTGACTTCCTCTGCGCTGGCGCGGTAGCTCGTCGCGAGCTCAGACTTGCCTTGCTGTTCGCAAACGGTAGCCCACAGATTCACCGCGTAGGCGGTGGCCAGCGTCAACCATCCTGATACTCCCTTCCCCTTGTAACCTACCATATTCATAGGGTCGCACCAATCACCCTGAGCGATGTAGCTCAGACCACGCTCATCGCGCGCTGCCAGCAACCAATCCATTGAGCGGCCGAATCGCTCAAACGCAGTGTAATTGTCGCCATGCATGCCGGGAATCTGCTCATCAAGCAGGGCGTAGTCGGCTGTCTCGGCAAGATACAAATCCAGCGCAACCGCCAACCATACGCAATGATCCGTGTGTGGGACCTGGTTGATATACTTGAGTTCCGCGCCTTCGGCCAACAGGATCCCGTCTGGCATCCCGCCATCGAGGTCTTGCTGAGCAAGCGAAATCATAAAAGCTTTGCGTGCCACTTCGGGTTTGAGAAAGTTCATGCCCATGTTGTCTTGGAGATAATTGCGCGTTTGCGGGTCCGTGGTCAGGCGGTTCACGTCTCCGTGATAATACACCTGACGGGGCAGCCAGTTGTTGACGAAGTTGTCCAGATCTTTATCTGGGGTTTCGATTTGCAGACAACCCCGCCCCAGCTCGATATACCGGGCATAGTCGCTCGCGGCCTGAGAAAATCCTTCTTTGCTCAAGTATTTCTCACGCATAGAGCGGATCTCAGCATCGTCCAGCGCGGGCCCGAAAAGGAAACGGTATTCACGCTCGCCATCGGCTTCCAGAGTCTCGCGGTACTGCACGGCAGCAGAGGGTGTTTCATACCGCGCATCACCACCGCCCAGCTCTGGCTTCATCACCGCCGAGGGGGCATGTAGACCGCCCTCGCCTTCAAACACCTTCTGCACTGTTTCCCACGAGTTGGGCGGCGTCTCGCACAGGAAGTAAGTTTTATCCTTCAGTAACTTGTTCTTGAAGTAGTCTTCCGCCTTTTGATAAGGCGTGATGCTGGTCCCCACCACGGCTCCCAGGTCCGGACGGTATTCTGCAGACTGGTTCATCCACGACATATTGCCGAATGGGAAATATGGGTAGACGCTGATCTTGCGCGGACGGCCGGACAGATTGGTCACCTTCACCGTCCACATCTCCACCACGTCCTGCGTGGGCAAGCCCAACGTCATCTCCACACGAATCCCCAACTTCTCCACCGTCCACACAATATCGCTTTTGCCCGCTGAGAACAAGAACTTGTCCACAAGCCCGCGCACAGGCTCATACGGTGCGGAGAACAGCTGGTCCGTCTCCTCGTCCTTAATATAGACGAAGCGGCCGGGGTGATGTGAATAGTAGTCTTGTTCTGGCTGCATGAAGGTTTTGGCTTCCAGATTGGGCGCATGAGCGTACTTTGCCGGCTCGGGCTGCATGAACTGTGCAGTGGCATAGCCGCGACAGGTGATCTGGATCATCATTTTCTGGTTCCAGAGGAAGCCGCCTGCGTTGGGCATGGCGGTTGGACTTGACAGGTCATAGCGGAGACCATCTTTGGAGGGACCGAGAGGCAGCATTGTAAGTTCTGGGAGGAGGGGTATAGTTGCCAGACCGAGGGTTGTTGAGGTGGACGGTTGAGGTTATAAGAAAGTTTATGGCCACTTTGACAGATCTAAGTTTTGTGATCCTTGCTAAGCGCGTCAATGGTTTCACGGATTATGTCCGTTCCACGGTCCGACCTCGGGCTCGGAGACTGGGAACTTAAAGTTTGGAGGTCATTCCCGCGGCGTGTTATAGTCACGGCGGTAAGACACCAAGGGGGGCGGCATAGGAACTGTGGTATTGATTGGGTTACATATAAACTGGTATCATTAAACCCAGACCATACTGGCCTTGACTACTTCCACCCCAAACCATACTGCAGCATAACAAAGAAATATCAGTTGCTCTCACGATGGTGATGTGCGTCCATATAATTCCACAATCCCGGTGTCAGGGTGAGGGGTGAAGGTGAGATTCCCCACGGCGGGTAAAGTCCTAGTACGGGATTACGGGCGGAGTTTCCGAAATTATATGGGGTAGACCCTGGAATAAGTTTAGTGCAAGATAGATTGGCGTATCACGTGGCGAGGATCTCCACCACCCCACAAACAAATATAGGTTCTCAGCTTGGGGTGTATGTCGACCACTTAATAAGGGCCAAGACATTGAGGAGGCAACATTTCCAATGCCGGCCGTAGCTCTTCGCTCTCACCATCTCCACTAGCAATGGCTGGGGTGCTTTTATATAGCACCCAGCCTGCGTGTCAACGTCTGACCGCCAGTAAAACATCCCCAGTGAATACGAAGAGATCAGATATAAAATATGAGAGATGGGATTTAGACTATAATACCAGAATCAGACTATGCCCATACTAATTACCAGCCATCCATGCTCTCTCTCCATGCTCATACTAGTTACCCCCATCTTCCCGACTCCATAAAATTCCCATATAACGTCTCAGCGCCCCTATCCATCCTCTAACCCCGCAGTCCGTCTGTCTCATGATATCATTCATACATAGCCCTCATAAAAAACAACCCCGTCATGAAAGTCGCGTGCAGCGCAAAAACGCAGAAAAAGAACCGCAAGATGCAGGAAGAACGAGGAAAAGGGAAAGAAAAAAAATGTGTACAAGCAAAAAAACGCTGTGTATCTCCTTGCTTCCTCCTCCTGGCCCCTCTCTCTACTACCAGCAGTAGAGACGGGTCATATAACCCCCACTCTGCTTTAATAATAATTCCTCATCGCATCCTCGTACCCAGTCCCACCCTTGAGATCCCTCTCAAAAGCGAGCGCAACATCAAGCACACGGCGGATATGCACCATGCTGAGCGGCTCCTTCTGGTTGACAGCGAGGGCCTGCGCAGTGCGCACGGTATTCTTGATCTGTCGTCCGTTGAGGTTGTGCTTGGCGAGGTCGTTGAAGTCTGCCTCGCTGAAGGGCAGCGTGTCTGTGCCTTCGAGGACGCGCACTTTCTCGAGGAACATCTGGAAGACGGCCTTCTTGGCTTTGGTGGAGAGCTCGCCGTAGCGGAGGGCGATGTGGATGCGCGATTGGAAGGCGTCGTCGAAGGTCTAAGGAGTTAGTTAGTGGGGTTCTCCTGTAATGCTTCTGGGGGTAGGATAGGGATTAACATACCTCGACGCGGTTGGTGGTTAGGAAAAGGATGCCCTGGAAGTACTCCAGCAAGCGGAGGAAGATGCTCACGAGCGCGTTGCGGTGAATATCCTGGATCGTTCGCTTCTCGAGGAAGACGTCGGCCTCGTCAAGCAGCAACACGCAGCCCCATGTCATGCTGATATCAAGGATCTTCTGCAGCTCCGCCTCGAGAGTGCGCGGGTCAGTGCCCAGCTCACCAGCCGAAACCATATACAGTGGGCACTTCAGAAGCTCAGCGATACCCTCAGCTGTAAGGGTTTTACCCGTCCCAGGAGGGCCGTGCAACACCGCCACAAGGCCCTTACCCTTGCCTTGGATGACATCGTCGATGCTCTCGGTCGGGTGATACTTGTGGGACTCAACGAGCGCCTTGACGATGTCCTTGGCGTTGTTCTCGAGAACGAGGGACTCGTAGGCCCCGTCGTTCCAGACAATCTCTTTGATACCCGAGACCGTGAATTCGAGCCACAACTTCTCGCTGAAAGCAAAGCCGAGAACAACAGGCGAGGCGATCAGGTACTCTTCTTCAGTGAAGACAGGGATAGGCTTCTTCCCATCCGTCTTATCTTCGGAGTCCTGGTCTTGCTCAGCAACCGCCTGTAGGTTCTCAGGCTTGATTTCTTGGCCATCGGCATCCACCGGAACTTGGACGACATGGACATTTTTCTTGTCATCCATAACAACCTTAATCTTCATCTTGGGCTCGTCGACATCATCCATCCCAGCTTGCTTGTTATCGTCGTCAGAGTCATCGCACTCGCATCCGCAATCGGAATCCTCTTCGTCTGAAGAATCCTCAAGTTCGTTGGGATCCTTCGGCTTGACGGTGCTGACCTGGTAATTGGGGTTGATGCGTCGATGGATCGCCGGGTCAATCATAATTCGGCCATTGATATTGACCTTGATGACCTGTCGCTTCTTCTTGTAATATGCAAGGCCTTCGTGACTCTTGTAATGAACACCCTGCAAGGAGACGAACTTCTTGCCGCGGTCAATAAGCTCCTTGCGCACCTTCTCCTCGTCCTTGTGGTACTTGAGGGGGTAGCAGGCGAGGCTGGTAATTTTACGTGCACCCTTGAACGCCGGGACATCACAGTCCATCGTGCCCATTCCCCAGGCCTTGCCATCATACTCGAGATACTTGCCCTCGATGCTATACCACTCTCCTTTCATGAAACTGCATTCCTTCTCGGCATATTCGATCTTGAAAGCGCGTGGCTCATCCAGCGTCCCATAGGTCGTGGTGTAGGCAAGGGTATTCGGCTTGTACAGAGCCCAGAGGTAGTCGAAGGTGATAAGACCAGATTCCAGCATCGGGTATAGGGTCTTTTTGGTTTCCGCATAGTCCTTGTCCAGATACTTGAGGAGGACCTTGAGATGCTTGATCTTCTCATCATTCTTCTTGATCTCCTTCTTTTTCATCTTTACTTCGCCCTTGCGCTTTCCCTTGAGGTCTTTCATGAGCTTTCGAAGATCCTCAAGGTAAAGGAAGAGGAGGTTCGGGTCGATTGCCGGAGCTTCTTCAACCAAGCTCACTCCCTTCACTCCATCCATGACACCATTCAATGCTTCCTTCAACAGCTTACTCTTAATGTCAATCAGGGTGGTCTTGTACTTTCCTTCCCAGTCAAATGTTCGCCTGACATTGAACAGGTACTGGTCGTATTCGGCAGACTCCTCATCTTCAGCCGTATCTGTGAGCTTGTAGTTGTGGATTGTGCTATCCCACAGCTGATCCACCCTCTTGAACTCCAGCTTTGAGCCTCGCTTCTTCGATTTCGCTTTCTTATCCTTCTTCAGCTTCTGGCCCAATGCATCCAGGCCAAGTTTAGCGTTCTGCTGCGCCTGAATCCGGGCTGCCATGCCGGCGCGTGCGCGGCCACCTCGGAGGCCACGGTTTAGGCCCCTTCCACCCGCTGGAGGATAATAGGTCGGGGGAACAGGCTGTCCTAATTGCTGTTGAAGAAGTTGTAGTTGAAGTAGCTTGGTATTGATATCCTGGTCATCGGACAAGTCTTCGTCAACGCTGTCGGAGGTCTCATCGGTGCTGTCACTGTCGGAGTCCGAATCTGAGGAATCCTGCCATATAATTAGTAATTTGCAGAGGCATGATCGTCACGAAGTGGTAGGTTCCCACGATCATGGAACGCGTTCTTAGAACTCACATCTTTTGCCGCCTTCTTCTTTGATTTGGCCTTCTTCTTGTCCTTCGCCTTTTGTTTGGCCTTTTTCTTCTCCTTCAGCTTGCGCTTCGCCTTCTGCTTCTTGGTTTCCATCTCTGTGTCGGAGGAGTCGGAGGAGCTTGACGAAGAGCTATCACTCGAGTCGTCGTCGCTGCTATCACTTGAATCGTCCGAAGAGTCATCGCTGCTGCTATCGACCTCCTTTGCCTTCTTCGACTTTGACTTCTTGGCCGGCTTGCCACAGTCCTTGGCCTTCAGCTTCGACTTCTTGGACTTGGCAGTCTTTGTGGTAGCGGCTGAGCTCTGCCTTGCCTTGGTCTCTGTTTGTCCCGGGCTGCTGCTCTCGGATGTCACCGGCGTGTTATCGCCGGGAGCCACGACCTCCTTGTCCAATTGTTGGTTATCCATATCTTGTCCTATAGCAGAGTCGAGGTGGTTGGGGGAGTCCACTGTGTCGTGGATTTGAACGTATATCAAGGGCACCGTCTCACGATGCTTGGTTTGCCGATTCGGAGTTTGGCAGACCTATCAATTTGAGATGGTTAGCCAGATGTTACAGGACACGATGGCATATGAGCCAGCTGATGGAATCCTGTGAAACCCGTTCTGTTGGATGTGCTGGTTGTCGACCTTTCTTTCCGTGGTTGCAAAAGAGAGAAGAAAGGCAGCATGGGAGGGCATTTACCTCTTGTATAGAATTATAAATGTCTCAGCGAGCTTCGTTAATCGTTAGTCGTGCCTGGTGGAAAAAGGCGGTGGTGACAGGTGAGGCCAGAGAGTAAAACAAGGCACAAAGAGAGTATGTGAGAGAAGAGCGAAGATGAAGAAGACGGTGAGATATATGTCTTAGCTACGAGTACACAGAAAGACGAGGTGAAAGGAAGTGTCACTCGGCGTGGGCGACGTCAGCTCTTAAAAAGAAGCTGGTGAGTGGCAGGGTAGGTAGGGTAGGCAGGGAGGGAGAACAGGCAGAAATATGGAGTTAGGTCGGTATTGGAATGTGGAATGTATGTATGGTGCGTTGTGATGGCGTTGTAACAGTGCAGTAGTGGTACTGCAGCAACTGTACGCCAATGAAGCTATAGCAGTGGCTGCCTTGTCGTTAGAGTGTGCATTAGGAGGATGCAGGATGGAGGCAGGATGGAGGCAGGATGGAGGAGGGAGATGCAACTCTTGACGCTGGAGTCTTTGGGTCTTGATTTGACGGTTTGAGGGAGGTAAGAGAGTGGAGGTATGGAGGGATGGTGAATGAGGCTGCGTCTAGCCTGGCACAAATTCTGTATGGCCGTTGTATGGCTGTTGTATGGAGGCTGAATGGAGGTTGTATGGAGGTTGTATGGGGGATTGTATGGAGCTGTTGTGGCGATACTGGAGTGAGGCTGCCGGCGGGAAGGCTGTGTGTGGGGAAAGGGAAGGGAGGGGCGGTTGGGATGGGATGGGATGGGATGGTTGGGGATGGTAGGGAATGTACTTCACGATTAGAGAGAAAATACAATCTCCGCGGCACAATCATGTCATTGTCAACAAGTATCATACCGCTATCAGCAAAGTACTTTCTCCAACATCTCACTGCTGCTGGAAACGTTAGAAGCTCCAGTTGGCGCGCGGTGAACAGTCACAGCGGTCCCAATCGTCCCAATTTAGGCAAGGTCAGCGCTAAAACAGCCCGGGCCCCAGCTAACAAGGCCCAGGTCACGGGGTACCTGGCCCCAACTCACCGGCGGCCCCTGCTAGCGCCATGGTTGCCTGTAAGGCAGACGTCGGCCAATCGATTACGGGTACGACGAAGCCTGAAGCCGCCCTGGATGGTTCTGTTCCTTGATAACTTCATCTTCATCTTTTGTCCATCTCCGCTCAGCTTCAATATGTGTGCATATAAGGGCGTACATATATATTAAAATGTGTATATATTACACTGCACTATATGGCCTTACACATAGTATGCACAAGCTTGTCCTGTTGCCCCAACCCAGCTGAACGCACTACAGCTCCTGCCAGGATGAATAATCCAACATACTCTGAGCAAATCCACCTGCGGCCTCCATGCAGCCATCCATAACCTTCCGGCGCCTTGTGAGACGCCCATCTCGTTGCCGCGCATACGCACGAGAATACCCAAGAAATGCGGTAATGGACGATAATAACTGGGCAGTACCAAATCCGAATATAGCTTCCAACAGCATGGCATGACCGTGGCCACCGTCTCACAACCTCCAAGGCAGACCACCGAGAAGACAGAATTCCCCGAGATCGACGGCATCTGATTATGAAACGGATTTACACTTATTAGAAATATCAATCTGCTGTCCCCCTTCTTGACAAAAAAAATAACCCGACGATGCGATATCACAGTGACACTCCACGTTGCATACCCAAACCCAACCCCACACCGCGGCCCGTCACCGCTCTTCCCCGACCGACCGCCCTCCACCGCCGAGCATTCTCCACACCGCAACCCGCGACTCGCTAACCCTCAACAGCTACCGTTGCTGCACACGCACGCCCGAGAGGTGCAGTTTCTCCGCAAAAAGAAATACTGACCCAGGTTGCCCCTTTCTGTGATATATGCCGTGCCTGCATTTGTGGGAATGGATGCTGTGGGGGTTCACCATGAACTATGGCGTGTTGTTGTGGGAATAGTTGCCGCGGGCACCCACGATGGGACTCTCCCACGATGAAGTATGGCGTGTTTTACGGCAAGAAGTGGCTGACCACCATAGCAGAGCTTTTTGGGCTGTACAGGTACTGCATGCTGTGATGCGGTTGTGTCTGGGGCGTTGGGCTATTTCTAATAAAGAGAAGGGCAAGGTACGGTAGGTTTATTTTATCCCCATTGTTCACAATATAGTCCAGCAAGAATACATTATTTTCAAAGCAATTCTTTGCAGTTACCATCTAGCTAATGTGCAATGAGCTCATCTTGCCAGCAGTGCACAACCGGCGAGCAATACATCCATTTCCCCGAGCAAATTTATCAGGGAATAAGCCCTTTCGGTGCTCGTAACGAAAAGCCATGCATGAGGGCAATAACTTCCACATCGGAGTCTAAAACTCGCAACTACCCCATACACAAGGAAATCCTAGCTGGCTTCTCGACCACTCTTGGTATCAGTGAACCCATCCGTATCGCAAAAGCAACGAAACGTCCGTCTCTATCATCCACCCCCTGGCATAAAAGCAACTGCAACCGCCTCAAGCATCCACCGTGCGTTCCATGGACCCCCATAACACGACAACCTCACCAAACTGGCACCTAATCACTCACACTATCTTCGTAGCTCGATATCTCATTCTCATCCTCCATCACCTGCTCATCCATCTTCCGCTTCCTGCTCTCCTTCTCCCTAGCCTTTGCGGTTCTCTTGTCCTCACAACCAAGACACCCGCAGTAATCCTTCATTACCGCTCTCTTCTCCGTCGGCTCATTCTTATACTCCGGGTACGCGTTTTCGTAGCCGGCAATAAGACCCGAGTTCAGGTCGTCGTACGCTTGGATGGCATCCTGGAGATTCGCGAACTCGACCAGAGCCTGCTTTCCCTCAGATTGCAGGACGTAATTCTGCTGTGGCGTGATGAGAGAGGTGCGCACGAGAATCGTGCCAAAGCACTCGGAGAGTTCTTGGAAGACAACACGGTTGGACTTCTCCTTCGGGATGTGAGAGAGGAGTATGCACCGCCTGGCCACGGAGATGCTGTGTTTAAGGAGATTGGGCTGGGCGGGGAGGATGGCCTGGGATTCTGCGCCTCTGAACCACGAGGCCTCGATCTGAAGGTCCCTGATAGCGTGTCCTGTGCCTTTCTCTCTTATGTTACGGACATGGTGCACGAATGAGCGTGCCTCCCTCGTGTGCATGAAGACGACCACTGCCGTTCGCATTCCAGGGTGTAGTTGGAACTCCTGCACTACCCCACCAAATACCTTGTTTGCAATGGCGCCTGGTGTGAATTTTGGCAGCACATTGCCTGGAGCCATGTGAGATTCCTGGACGGCATGGAGGCGCACCGTGACGACACGGCCGCGCTCTTCCATATTCTTACTCGCACGGTTATATAGTAGTTGTTGGAGCTCAGTGAGTGGGGGTGATGGGATGTCAATATCCGTTGGAATTCTGAGCGCAGGAGAGTCGTCATAGGCAGCAATGAGTTCAGCGAGTCCGTTCGCTGCGTTAGTTCCATCGCTTGATCGGTCAGTGCCTGTGCCATTGAAAATGTGGCGATCGAGGGGGGCATTGCGGAGGCCTCTGACAGTGGAGGATGCGTCGTTTCCGTCGTCTGTGGTACACCACGAGTTGGAAGATGTGGCAGGGGATGGTTGCATAGATTGGCGAGGTCCAGTAACTGGGTTTCCGGTACCAGAACCGCCCGAATACAGACTTGGACGTGACTTGGAGCGATGGTTATTATGCAATCTGTCGGGGAGCCTAAAGCTTGGTTCTGCGGCCATTGAGCCGACCATCGAGCCAGCCATCGAGCCAGCCATTGACCCAGCTACAGAGGCGGATTTAGAGGACGAGCGCGTCCGAGACGAAGACCTCGAAAACTTAGGTGCGTCAATATCGACCAGACGCTCCAACATCTCTTGCCAACTATCATCACCCAGCCTAGGAGTTCGGGAGCCACCACTGGTGCCCCCAACCGGCGGGTCATCGCAGTCACCCAGCACTCCCCAGGTGTCAAGAGTGTCACCAGTTCCTGTGGTTCCCAATGAGGTACTGGCGTTGTCCTTTTCTTTCTGCTTTGCTTTATCGGCAAGGATGGCTCTCATACGCTCTTTTTCCTTTCTACGGGAGATTCGTCTCTCATAGAATTTCGGAAGGTAGTGCAGCTCATGCTGGTCGCTTTCATCTGCGCCTGCTTTCTTTTGCCAGAGATCGATGGGTTGACGGATGAGTGTCAATCGTTCCATGCGGTCCTCAAGGGGCATGGCCTGCCACGCGTGGTATTCTTTGGTCGCACGTATCATTTCGCCGTCGCGTGTTTGGAGCATTTCAGAGAACCCCCGTCGATAGCGCTTCTTTACCTGACCCAAATCCTCGCCATCGTATTCTCCCCTCTCGTTCATCTTGCGTGTTCGTGTCTCGGTCTTCATTTCGACCTCGACAGTATTGCCATCGCCGAACTCGTTAATGTATACCACTGGTGCCTTGTTTTGTGGGAGCCAGCCGCCTTGGTTTCGCCGCTCAAACGTCGTTGGTGCAGGACGGGCATCATGCATAGCATTGATGTTGTCTATGAAGTTTTTTCTCACGTCTGGATCTATCTGGCTAGATTGGTCGTGAGCCGTTTCATCTGTGACCACGCTACCTTGCGGCAAGGTGGGGTGATGTTCCATGACACTTGGCTCAGAAGGAGGAGCGTTAGGAGAACTAGGGATAGAAGATATATCAATATAGTCATCAATTGACTCGGCCCTATCTCGACGAGATTGCCTGTCAAGCTTCTGAAGGGATTTTTCAGTAAGACCTCCAACCTCCGGTGCCTTTTTCTCCTTGACTTCCGCCGCAACCACTACGCGAGAGGTTCCAAACGTTGCAGCGAGAGGGGTGTTTCTTGCATCGGAGGGATTCCACATATACGTTTCCGGTGCATTCTCTTCCACTGCTTCCTGGTCTCCCTCTTCATATTTGACGGCCCCTGTTTTCGGATCTAGAGTGGTCCAAGTTTTCTTCAGGGGCACATTTTCCGCTTGGTACGAGCCGAACTGGAAGCCACGCGGAATCTCAGCGTAAGGGTCGACCTTTGGCTTGAATGGCATAAGTCCCGGTGCAATAGGTGGAGCCCTCTTTCCTCGTCGTCCCTGATGCTGATCGTTTCTGCGGCCGACAGGGTTGTCAACTATCGGAGACCCTCTTCCTATCCCAGATGATGAAGGTGGTCCACCTCCCCAGAGTCGGTTATTGGGGTCAGTGGTTTTTGTGTCACCCTGCCTCGTAAATTTAAGGCTGCTGTGGTTGGAGAAGGAGTCTTCGTCCTCATTGTCATCGTCCGCGAACCTCTTCATCACGTTGTGTGTGCCCTTTCCAAGACTCGACGTAATGTTTGAAACATGTGCTGCTTTGCCGTCCGAATCATCATCTCCTTCGAAGTCACTGTCCTCTAACAGACTATATGGGCCTAAATCGCAGTGAGTTTCGTAATCATAAGAGACCAAATTCAATGCTTACCAGCACCAGCACCGCCCCTCAAGGAAACCTCAAAATTGGGGTATTCATAAATAGGGCCGGCTTCGTCAACCGCTACTATTTCGCCATACCCTGTGACTGGATCAGGCTCTGGAAGTGATGTGTGGGGGTCTTTCGTCCCAGTGCGGCCTCTGTTGTGCGGAGGCATTGAGCGCGCCCTTCTCGCATCGCGGCGATCATGGTGCATTCCTTCAATCTCCCCAGGTGAGTACTCCATACGGTTAATCTCAGGTATCCCGACGTTTGCGATAGTATAGTTCTGGTATCCCACTGTCATATCTGGACCGTTGAAAGGTGCTGCGATGTTTCCCGGGTGTGCCCGATTTATTTGAGGCTGTCGAAACCCTGGTCTCCGGGATTGTGGTGGATGAGAATAATGTCGTTCTGCCAACGGTTCAAAGGGCGGCACTATTCCTTGACTATGTATGATCTGGCTGTTGAAGATCTCAGCGTCGGGTTTCAGTCTCTGAGGCTGCAACTGGGGAGAATAATGTGGACGCTCCGATGATTTAAAGGGTGGTACTCTTCCCGAGATATCAACCTGACTGCCGAAGACCTCAACGCCAGATCTTAGTCTCTCATTCTCCACTCGCAACTCTGAGTTGGCCTGCTTGAGTCTCCTTAACCTTGTCTGGGTACTTCGAAGTTGGTTTAGGTTGTTGTGCTTTTTGAAATCGGCGGAGAGGTGATGAAATATTCGATCTGCAATCAAACTGCAGTATCTGTCAAGTTCGCCGACTGAGACGAGGAAAATGTGTTCGAGGTTCTCTTGACTACAGTCTTTCCGAACCCAAGACAGAACTTGGGAGAGTTCTAGTTGGAGAAGTGAGTTGCTTCGGGGTGATATTGTGAGGTCAGTTATGGGAGCAGGTAGCCTTTCCTGGATACTTCTTATAACTGACGCGAAGGGGATGGTATCGTTTCTGAAAAAGAAATGGGTCAGAAAAGCTTCTAACAGAAATATTTCAAAAAGACTGAGAGAGAAAGGAATTGCGGCGCAGTTCTAGGTAAAGACCTAGATAATTGATAGAACGTTATGGAAGCTGTACTAGTGAGGAGTGTTAATATAAAAAAGTGGTGTATTGGGTCCAAACACAAACCCGAGGAAATTTGCATTGTTATCACGGAATTGGCTGATGGAATGAAGCGGAAATGTACGCAGGCCAATGAAACAGTTATACAATGGACGGATGGTCCCAAGGAGGGAACATATGGTGAATTGAGAGAAGTGGATGGAATTAAAGTGATAGGATTTAAATTGAGAGATCGAAGGTCAAAACAAGAAATCGCGTGTGAACAACAAGCGAGCCAGCATCCCTTTCTCCGTGCAAATGCCCAAAACAAATAGCCCAACAAACGTGTAGAGGCGAGAATATTAGTCCAAAGAAAGAAAAGGCCATGCCACTTACATATCAGGACATTTAAACTTAGGCAGCTCCTCCAACAATTGTCTCATCTCTTCGTCCTCCATTATCTCTTTATCATTTCTGATCATCTCGTCGGCACGCCTCCGGACTTCAGCCTCTCTTTCCTCATTCGCAGCCTCCTCGGCCGCTTTTTCCCAGTTATTCCGCCTATCGAAAATCTGCCATGCCATCGCCGCATCCCCGCCACTCTCGTCCATTGCCATATCCAGTGCAGGCAGTAAGGGTTGTTTCATCTCGAACGCATAATATGGGAAAGGTTCTAGACCCTGCTGATCTTGATATGCCCAGACCGCTTCCTCAGCTTTCATCTGTTCCCTGACCATGCGGCGATATTTTTGTTTGGTGGCCTGGCGATGCTCATGGAGAGTACGATGGCAGTTTTCGGGATCGATATTATTGGGGGAGAGGGTGGGCTGGGGCCTGGGTGGTAAAGAGAGGTCGACCACGCGTAATGAGCGTGGGAGAGGTGGATAGCCAGACTGGTCTGGCTGGGGCATCCAGACCCCTTGCTGCTGATTGTATGGTATTTGTGAATTCATCCTGTGTTGTTGGCTGAAAGAAATCGGCCCAAGGGTGTTGTCCGAGGTTGTGAAAGCAGAGTGGAAAGAAGAGAGTGTCAAAGTGAGTGTGAGGGAAGAAGATAGGAAGCGGAAGGAAGAGAGTGATACTGGGCAGAAAGAAGGCACAAGATGGAAGAAATGGAGTGAGGGTAAAAAGAAGATGGGGACAGGAAGATGGTAGGAAAAGAGCGATAGTGAGAGGAGATAAGGTTGAAGAGTCGGGTCTGGTTGAAAGGAAGAGATACGGAGAAAGGAAGAGATACGGAGAAAGGAAGAGATACGGAGAAAGGAAGAGATACGGAGAAAGGAAGAGATACGGAGAAAGGAAGAGATACGGAGAAAGGAAGAGATACGGAAAAAGGAAGATGAAAGACGATAGTGAGAGTGAATAGAAAAAGACAGGTGAGCGAGGAAATTCTGTTTGGTTTGAAGTTTTGGAATATGGTCAACTCTGGTTTGCCTTCAGCACCCTTTATTGCGAGTGAATATCTGGTGGATTTGTGCCGACTTTCGTCAAAAAGTCTTTGAGATCTAGAAGGGTGAAATATGAATATAAATGGGGCCAGGAAAACACGCCAAAAATATTATCTACTTCTATCGATAGAGTGCATGATCGTATGGGGTGAGTTCATGTTAGTTTGGGTTGGTTGCCAAAACACAGAAATCCAAAAAATAAAATGCAAAAAAACCAGACGACGTGTCTGGTGAAAAATCCACCCCATGGTGCCTCGAACCCGCGAATCCGAGAAGATGGTTATTTGCTTAAGGTGAGGGTGACCGCTAGGCCATGTGCCCTCTCTGGTTTCTTACTGCCTTGTCCTCCGTTATATAAGGGGTACGGAAGTAAGGGGTAGCTCCACATGAATGAATGGGAAACAAAGAGAAGAAACAAGTAATCTTCCGGTAACAACGTGACTATTCCGTTTAATAATACACTTTTCGTAGACTATCACACGTACTTGAGCTTTTGTCTCCCATTTTGTGGAGAGCCTAGAATCCGAAAAATAAAAGTATTAGGGGGCTAATCATTAAAAGTCAGAATATTAAATTATTAAAATATTCCTCGTCGGGTTATTTAAACAGTAGCTATACCGCTTGGTATGCAGATAATAAATTCAAATACACAGAGCCTCTTCATTCTTGTTCGTTGGGTGAGAGTCCAGGATACGGCAGTAAGTGAAGAAGATCCCCTGCAAAACGTTGCATGGATATACAGTGCTCACGATTGTAGTTTCAGTCACCACAGGATAAACAAGGCCACATTTTAAAAATCATTTATATACTTTCGTATGAGCAGGTATGAGCAATTGTGAGCAAAGCCAGAGAAAAAGCACCATCCTTGCAACTGAATATTCATCCCCCAGAACCCCCCCGTTCCATCTTATCCAGGTATGCCACCCCCATATATCCACCATGGCATGTAAAATCTCAGAAAACTAATTTGGAAAATCAAGAACGCACGCAGATGCCAGACCCCATGAGAGACAATTATTCTTCGTGATAGAGTTTCGTATATACCGTGTCTCGGATCCAGCAGAGCGCGTGAGAAATATATAAGTATGTCATCGTATTCGTAAAGTAAGTGACGTTCGCACAGCGATGCTCCGTATGGCAGAAAAACCGCACTGACTGAGAATGTGCCGAGACACAACTAGCTCTGGGGAGTCGATGGCGATATGAAAGCACTGGCGGAACGTGAAAGGTGTGCTGCGGACTCAGATCGGAGAATGTGAGGCTAGGTTCCGAAAATGCCAAACGGCGAGTCGATCACACGGTGAAGAATGAGATTTAAGCCATGTCGGAGTCCATCTCACCATCATCTTCACCTTTGATACCCTCCGACTTGAGTCCAGGCGAAATTGGAACTCCACCGTCTGAATTTTCCTCATCCGGAGTCTCAGCATCCTCCATGAGCTCATCGCGCTTCACGACAGCACCGCCATCGATGGCTTGGTCGATGGCCTTCATGCCCTCATCGTCGCTGGCCGAGGGTGCAGCGCCGTTGGAAGCCTCGTCAATATCCTCATCATCGTCAGCCGGAGCATCAGGGCCGTTCATGACCTCGTCAATGGTCGCGGCGTGAGGGAAGCCTTCGCGCTTCTCTTTCAGATAGGCCTTCTCAATGGCCGCGGCAGTGTAGGTGTCACCACCAAGCTGGATCATGACAGTAGCCATGCGGCCGTATAACTCTGTTGCAAAAGCTTTGGTCACTTTCTGCTCGGCAACGAGCATACGCTCAAGCTGATTGGATGAGTTAGTCAAAGGTTGTTCAGTTGAGTCATGGCGAAAAAGGGAATTTAAAAAGGGTAAACAAAAGAGAGTAGCTCACATCACCATCCTTCCAGTCAGTGATGTTGGCCATCAGGCGCTTGTAGCGGTTGGGGAGAGTGCTAGTTCCAGGTGGCTTGCCGGTCATTTCACCCCACTTCTTGCGGATCTCAGGCCAGCCCTTGCCATCCTTTCTCCACTGAATCATCATCTTATCCTCATCGGTGAGCTGGTCCTTGGAGGTTGCGATAGCTGTGCCCTTTCCATTGCCGCTCTTTGGGGTACCAGCAGCGGCCTTGATCTTCTTGGTAGGAGTGGTGAAAGGATCGGCCTCGCCATCTTCCTCAGCAGCGCGCTTCTTCTTGCCACCGGGGGTACCGTTGGCAGCAAGGGATGCCTTCTTCACTTTGGGAGTCATTGGCGCCTCAGCAGCGCTGACAGGGCTACTGCCGCCATTGGGCGTGGGAGCGTAATAGGATTTGACGGCAGAGGAATCCTCATCTCCATAGCCAGGCATCTTGGCGCTGGCAATATCACCCACCATGCTGCTGACCATATCACCAGCCATATTTACATCACCAGCTTCGTCGTCGACGATCTTGTCCTCGCTCTTGACTTTCTTGGCATTCTTGCGCGGCGTCTTGGGAAGAGACTCTCCATTTGGACCAGTCTTTGGCTTTGGCTCAGCCTTCTTGCGAGGAGGCTTTGCGATAATAATTCCATCCTCATCCACCTTGGGCGCAGGCTTCTTGCGAACTGAGGTGGATTTGACGACTGGAGTGCCGTCTTCGTTGAGCTCCTTCTGCTTGGCATTCTTGCGTGGGGTTTTGGGCACAGAAGTGCCGTCCGCATTGGTTTGGGCGTTCTTGGGTTTGGGTGAACGCTTCTTGGTGGTGTTTGAGCCGGGTGCCGGTGTTGCGGGGGAGGCTTGTTCTGCGGTCTGAGATTGTGTTAGTGCGCCCAGTAACAAAGACAGTCAAGATCGATCTTGGACAGGGAAAGGAAGAGATGTTTGTGGAAGGCAATGCAGTGTGGAGTTTGTGGTTATAGATAGACGACGTGGTTTCATGCCGTGAGATCGGAGAAACAGGAAATGTGAAAAGATGTGATGTTCATGGAGTTCAATCCATTCCGAGACGACAAGACGGTTAATGAACTTACCTCAGTAGCATCAGCATCGCCGACGTTGTCCTCCATATCCTCGTCTTTGTACAAAACAATTGCCTGAGATCCCATAGGGGCCTCGTCTTCAAGAGGGAGGTTCACGGCAGTGAAACCTTGCGACATGTTGTTGGAGATGTATTGGGTCTATCAAAGAAAAAGAAGCAGAGTTAGTTGAGATTCAGCACAATAGATAACGTTGGTGTTGATAATGATTGAAGTCTTGGTAAAAGGCAGGAGACTTAAGATCGAAACAGCAATGAAGGGAGTTGGACAGAAGGTTTGGATTTTGAGGCTTGTGGGGGTCGATCTGGGGCAAAGAGTGATCGACCGTGCAGGAGGGTTCGATCTGGGTTAGGGAGTGATGGGTGGTGCTTACCTTAGGTTGATTGTGTTCTTGTGTTATGAGGAATCAAGGACAAATAAGCTTCGGGGAGTAACTAAGGAAGCTGAAGTATGGTGGTGGAGCTTTGAAGAAGGTTGTTGCTGAAAAGGAGGTACTCGAGGAAGAAGGTTGGTGTGAAGTAGTTGCTTGAAGAAAGAAGTTGAAGATCTTCCAAAGAAGAAGAGCTATTGTAGTTGTGAAGAAAGTGATTGAGGAAGAAAGGCTGTTGAGGAAGAAGGGTTGGTGATGTGAGGTGGTTGAGAAGAAAGGTTGTTGTGAGGGGGTTGAAGGAAGAGTAAATGGGTGAAGTTGAGATCGAAGGAATAAAATAGAAGTTTATACCAGAAATCTTCAGATCCCAAGGTTCTCTTCTCACAACTTCTCAATAGTACTGTGAAGAAAGAAGCGAAACCTGAGGAAGGTAAACTGTGTATTGTGTTCTGAATTCAATAACCGCAACAATGGGAGAGATGCAGATTAAGCAGCGAGCAGGATCCCAAGAACATGAGAACTTCCTCGAAAGAGAGAAATGGTGATTGATGGTGAGCATTCCAGGAGACACCAAAGTCAATATATCACTACTGAATATCACTCTGAGATATCCGGTTTCTAAACCTGTGCCATCCCACCATTTACTCATAATAGTAACTTGTGCAACTTTCCTGAGGCTGCTGGACTTCACTTGGACGTCAACAAGATATGCACCAAACAAGTGACTTTATCCACAGGATCTGTATATAGGGGGGTTAATTTGAATAGAATAGCACTTGCTTGATCTTTCAACTTCAGAAATATATATTTTATATTCCATAACCCAATTTGGTCTGGATGGTATGAACGTTTCCGACAGAAGACAGACTGCTGCCGGGTTCAAAAACATAAAGAACGCAGGAGAAAACTTATCCCCCGCTTCAAGAAGAGACACAGCAGAACACCAACATTAAACACCACATTCTGAGATAAAAGTGTAAGAGGTGAGGTAAGAGATAATATACACATACTCCAATAAAATCTCGCAAAAATGGTATATCCACCAACTCCAGACCCAACCTAAGATCCTCCCCCAGCTATGCAAACCCTCCCTTTCTACCCAAAATCATACATCCCCTCCCCCTCCATATATACACCCGCCCCATTATCCTTCACCTTGCCGACATCACATGTCGCTCGTAAATATTCACAAATACCTCTCATCCGTATACGTCTTCGCCACCACCTCCCTCACCAAACTCTTCTCCCTCCTAACCCCCGCAATCTTCGGATCCACCGCCACCAACGCCGTCGCAGTCGCATACTCCCCATCATGAGAAATACTCACACTAACCTCCACCCACCACCCCTCCGCCCCCGGGAGCTTCACAAACGCCCTCGGCGCCTCCCCCACCACCGCACCCGCACCCTCTCCCTCCCCCCCCGGCACCTCCTCCTCCTCCCGCACCCCTGCCTCCCTAGCCTCAATCCTCACCGCCGCCTTCCTCGCCTCCAAGAGCGCCAACTGGGTCTTCGCATTCAAGATAACAATATCATGCATAAAGACCTTCCCCCCCCCCGGCCACGCCGCCGCAACCGCCTTAATAACCGCCTCCTTCGCGGCCCACCTCCCCGCCAAAAACTTCGCGCTCCCATCCACCCCGCCCGCGGCTTTCCAGCCACTATACCGCGCCTCGAGGGGGGAGAGGGTGCGCGTCCAGAAGCGCGGCATGGCGCCCTCGACGTAGCCTGGTTCGGCTAGCTGGCTCACGAGGATGCGGTGGATGCGAGGGATGTGGCAGATGTCTGTGCCGATTGTGTATGGTGGGGGGGAGGGGTGGAGGAGGGCGGAGAGGAGGCCGGGGGGGGTGGTGGGGTGGGGGAGGGAGGTGGGGGAGGCGTCTTTGACGTAGCGGATTTTTTGGGAGAGGGGGATGGAGTTGAGGAGGGCGTGGAGCTTAATGTTGGGGAGGTCGTTCTGGGAGGGGGAGGAGGTGGTGGTGGAGGGGTCGTCGTGGTTGGGCGTGTAGAATCGCTTTTGAACTGGGCTGGGACACGAGACTGCGCCTATGGGTTGGGATTGACGCGGTTTGAGGATGGAGGCTCCGCTCCGTAGGACGGAAGAGAGCGTTTTAGACGACATGGCGAAATAGTCCGAGGGGGGTTTGCACCTCAATAATCGATTCAATCCAATCCTCTCCTCTCCTCCTGGCTCAGTGGACGTCGTCGTTGCCAAATAAAAGCTTCAGAGCTTGGGCCACCCCGCGATGCTGAGTATTAAAGATACTGCACTACATACAATGTGGTTAGACTACTTCTAGTGGGCCTAGCTCCCCTGTAGCTCCACTTGGCGTAGCGCGGCTTCATCCACATCGCCAAAGCACGTGATATGATCAAGCTCGATTTCAATAAAGCGAGAGAAACATTTTTATATTTATTTAAATTAAGCTAGAACAGAGATCAAAGATACGTAAGTTCCATACTGCTCAATCTGTATTCTGTGTCAATCTGCTCGAATAGATCCTTACGTCCTCCAAAAAAACTCCCAGACATGCATTTGAGAAAAATTTCAAACTGAAATCCAGCGGGAAAACAAAAACGAGCAGTCATCCATCCATCCATCGCGAAGAGCGGAGTATTAAGTTCATTCAAAAATGAGCGCGGACGTGATCCAATCCCCACAATAAAACATCAAAAGCGAAGCACTCGTAACTGACCATATAGACCATAAATCCATAAACCCTTTCTGCAGCCTTGCGGCTTTCTTTGACACACGGAGATTATCCGTCCTCTTGACTGGTTTAGTTGTCTTCCAAGAGAGGAGCTCTCTCCTGGTCCTCGGCAACAACTGCCTCGCCTCTGGTGAAGCGGCCGCCAAAGATCTCGGGGAGGGTGATGACGAAGGTGGCGACGAAGAGGGTGGCCATGATGGTGAAGGCGAAGATCCACTGGAAGGCGATGACTTGGCGGAGAAATTGGCCGACACCGAGGGAGGCGCTGAGGACGCTGAGGGAGAAGCCCATGGTGTAGTCCTGTGATGGTGTTAATATAGCTTTTTGGGGGGTCTACTACTTAGAAAACTAACCTTGAAGGTGACGAGGAAGAAAAGTCCGTAGACAAGGATACCCCAGACTGCGACGTTGGCAAGGATGCGGCCAAACAAGCCCTCGGCGTTGAAAGCAATAGCTCCGTTCCAGTACAAAGCAACGAATGCCCAGGCCAGGGGTCCCGAGACAGCTGGGAGGTGGACAAAGCGAGGCAAGGCAGGGTAGCGGAAGTAGAGCGACGACAGGTTGAAGAAGTTGACGATGAGGATCAGCTCAGCCCAGACGAAGTGGGAGCGGACGAAGAGCATGACGAAGCCGAAGTGGAGGAGGTTGTTGAAGATGAAGTGGCTCCCGACTGAGGCTGCGGCCTGGACATGGTCGGCGTTGGGGGAGAACAGGTGCCAGATGTAACCACCTTGAAGGACGAAGAGCAAGATCCTGGAATTTGTTAGATGTGATGCACCAATGAGAAATATCAGAGAAGCCTACCAGTAGATGGATGCAATGCACGAGTTCAGGGCAAAGGCGGTGTGGTGGTGTCTGTTCTGGCCCCAGATTGTGCGCTGCTTGGTAACATCATCGTCTGGCGCGTGGAAGGTGTAGTAGACGCTGGAGACGACGGCCAGGAGCCATGACAACGTGGTAAAGATCTTATACCAGAAAATCGTCTGGGCGTCGTGGGTCTCGCGCTTGGCGAAGGGGTTAACTTGGGAGGTGGTCAGCATCGTTCCTGCACAGGTAGAGTTGTGGGTGTAGTGGAGTTTGCGGCTTACTTTGGTGGAGTCTATCCATTTTGATATGCTGCACGGCGTCTCGAGAACGGTGTCAAGAGTATCGGGGGCGTCGGTGTGTTGGAGAGTGGGGAAGAGCGGCTGTGAGGAACTGAGTGAACTTTCCGACCCCGAACCTGTCTGCAACCTTGCTTGGAGTTAGCTTCCTCTCGGTGTAGGTAGAACGAAGGCGAAGGAGTAGAGAACGTAGAATAGGATTGCACGCTTACCTTCTGTACGGATTACCTGTGTTCGTAGAATTGTGAGGAAGTTGAAGAAGAAGAGTCAAGTAGAGAGGAAGGAGAAGGTGCTTGTCCCTTCCTTGTCCTTGGTTTCGACTAGGCTGGTGGTGGTGACTGCGTGGAATCAGGGTCTTCCAGGGTCGACGGTGTTAGTATTATGTTAGTGCAAGAAGGAGCAAGAAGGAGCACATAGCAAGGAAGTCAAAGGAGAAGATTTAGAGCAAGTAGTTAGTGTATTTATTAAGTATCTTCAAGACATTTTGAAGCAGAAAAGCAGCAAAAGCCTGGTACAAAGACTCCAAAGACAGCTACCCGGCTGAAATCGATGACGTACCGTATTGTAACTTATACATTGGGGGGGTTGGAGGGACTATGAGCCAATGAGACGGGCGAATTATAGTCCGTCTTGGATGACTAATCAGATTGCCACCAATGACACGCATGCTGTTGGCGACAGGGAAATCAGAGTATGTTGGACTTTGTATACCCTCATGTATGTACTCGCTCTAGAGGCCGCTTTGGAGCATTTCTACATACACATACCACATACCACACACAAACTACACACTTAACCCTTCTCATCCCGTACTGACACCCAGCTGCATGCACCAATATACACCAATACACCAGCGCTACGCCACTATAGGATGTCCAATTGCACCACATGCCATATCTCGACTGCAAGTAGAAGATACTTGCAGTGTAGAAGCTCTACGCATCCAATATCGTACATATTACCTTGGTGGTTCAGCTTGGAACGCGTATGCTCCAATGCTCGAACCCAGACCCGGCCAGTTTGATCGGCGAATGAGGTGCTCTTATTGCCCATGGTGCATTCGGTGGTACTACTCCCTCCCCCTTCATAACGCATACTGTGCAATACTGCGCAATACACAATACGCAACATGCAACAGAGGAAGATCCGTCAACGCCCACGACTCATCTCATCCCACCGCCACTGATGGCCGCCGCCCTCCATGAAACACGCAACCAAGGGGAGCGTCAAATGTATCGGAGCAAGCAGCCAATCCGCGCGTCAGACGTTGGGAGGCGTGCTGCCCATGAAGCTGTATACGGCTGTATCCCCAGGTCTGAACTGCGGGGTACCACCGAAAGTGTACGGAGCGGCGACTCTGGTCCTGCAAAGCCATGCAAACTATGGCCACTACGGACAGTCACCAGACATCCCAGACATCCTAGACATCCTCAAGGTCTCACTTCTTAGGTAACCCCCACTCTCTGGCACGGACTGGTACTCTCTAGCTGTGCTTGACAGGTTATACTTGGCATGTATAATCCCAGAGAGCAACAGTAGTAGCCCCCCTCCTCGTTCCGTGCCGTAAAGGGATGTCGTGACCGCTCCATGTTGATCATGGCCTGTGTGTTGCCCGTGGACGTTTCGTTTCCCGCTATTATCATCATATATCGTTTGATCGTCGTCTGGTCCTTGTCGGAGATCGAAGAGTCAACCCCCCAACGCCGCACGGCATCCCGAGTGCTTCTGCTTCTCATATTTCCAAACCAAGCATCTCACAGGCGCCCAGTCCCTTGGGTAACTCTGCGAGCGACGCGGGACAGAGCCTGGTTACCATAGAATGGTTTTGCTGCATGGTGGCATAGTGCACCACAGCGATCTTGGTCCACCAACGCCAGCGCTTCCGCCCCCACCATCAACCCATCAAATCCATTATGGCCTGTGCTTTGTGTGCTTAGCCTGAGTCAGCTCCACAAAGGCATGATCCATATAAGTTTGGAACATGGTGATATCTGACCCTATTGTGTAAGTTAGCAATGCTATATCTACCTAACGTGAGGGATCATGGGCTTGTGAACTGGTTGTGCAAGTCCCGTGCAAGTCACGCCCAGCGTGTGCACAGAGATGGAAAGCTCCGCGGTTACCGCCTGTAGAACGTAGAACTTGAGGCTATGCCATGTTCCCCCGAGCACGACATCAAACAAGATACGACAGTCACTAATGTTGTGTGAAATAAGCAAGGGCGGTAATAACATATTAAGGCAATCTCAATCTCCCAAAACATTCAAATATTGAAATGATTATTCATCTGAAGAACTGCACCTTCCACCTTGCATCTTGCATCTTATCTGTGGATTTAATAGATCGCTTAAAGTAGACTAGCGCCTTTCAGCCACTCCCCGCGTTTCGGAGGCTGACCCGATTGCCCCAGCCACACAGGCTGCTCCACATGCTACTAGTCATCCCGCCAGGTACAGTGCAGGACCACCGCCTACAGCCTCTTCCACGACTCATCCTCTCCATCAACCTTCAATATCGCTGCCCTCATAGTATACTTTCACAAACACTCATAGTCCGCCCATCATGAAACTCACCACCCTATCCGTGCTGGCCCTATCAGCCTCGGCCATCAACGCCCGCTTCGTCGAGAAGCACGAGACCGACCAAGTCGTGCTCACCAGCGACAGTGGCGAGGATGCAACAAAGTATCTCATCGAGCTCTCCCCCGGAGAGACCAGGTTGGTGATAGAGGAAGACAAATGGGATCTGAAACGAGTAAGTCCGCCATTCCGCCATCCCACGCACCCGATGCTAACTGTTTCCCCAGCAAAACATCAACTTCATGGACATCACCGACACCCAATCCCTCGGCTCCTACAACATCCACACCAGCAAGAAGCGTGTCTTCCCCGCAGCACCCGTGCACCAGACCAGTCTCGAGCCCCTCCTCAAGACCCTCTCCAAGTCGAAAATGCGGGCGCACCTCGAGAAATTCACCTCCTTCTACACCCGCTACTACAAGTCCACCTACGGCGCTCAGTCGTCCGCATGGCTCCTCGAGACTGTCACCGAAATGGTCGGTGCTGCGGGGGCTGATAAGCACGGTGCGCATGTGAAGCACTTCCCGCACTCGTGGGGGCAGAACAGCGTTATCGCTACGATTCCGGGACAGAGCGATAAGACTGTCGTTATTGGCGCGCATCAGGATAGTATTAACCTGTTCCTGCCTGCATTCCTCCCAGCGCCTGGCGCGGATGATGATGGATCAGGAACGGTTACCATCCTTGAGGCGCTGCGGGTGCTGTTGGCTGATGAGTCGGTTGTGGCGGGGAACGCAACAAACACCATCGAGTTCCACTGGTACTCTGCGGAAGAGGGCGGTCTGCTCGGCTCCCAGGCTATCTTCAGCGCATATGAGAAGGAGGGTCGTGATGTGCGGGCTATGTTGCAGCAGGATATGACTGGTTATGTCCAAAAGACTCTCGATGCCGGAGAGCCCGAGAGCGTGGGCGTTATCACTGATTTCGTCGACCCGGCGTTGACGGAGTTCATCAAGACGATCGTGACGGAGTACTGCGATATTCCGTATGTGGAGACCAAGTGCGGATACGCTTGCAGTGACCACGCATCGGCGAGCAAGGCGGGGTATCCGTCGGCGTTTGTGATTGAGTCCGACTTTAAGTACTCGGATGATAAGATCCATACCCAGGATGATAAGATTGAGTATCTCTCTTTTGATCATATGCTGCAGCACGCGAGGTTGACGCTGGGACTGGTGTACGAGCTCGCGTTTGCGGAGCTGTGAGTACGGGATAGGGATGTTGATGTCTGTGGTTGATGGTTTTAGTTATACGGGTTGAGATTGGAATTTGGGCATGGCGTAGTTAGTTGGAGTTTGAAGTCAGGTTTAGAATAGCGGTTGCATCGAGTGCAAATCCTAGAATCTCTCCTAACTTCCACTGTCTTCCGTGACCAATTCTCATTCTACATGCCATGCCATCACACAACAACGATAAGTCAAAGCCATAACAATCTTAACATCTATACACTCTAACCCTCTAACCCATTTTTACCCTGTTTCCAGAAATCCACACAGAAATCTAAACCATCGCATACAACGGCCCCGGCATCTCCCCCCCCACCCCCCTAATCCCCACCACCCCCCTAATCCCCACCACCGCCCTCCTCCCCCCCCCAACCGTAACACTCCAACTTCTCAACCCATAATACCCCGCCAACGCATGCACCAAGTACCTCCCCAACGCCCCGCCCCTATCCCCCACCCGCGCCTCAAACACACACCTCTCCCTCTCCCTTTCGACTTTCGCTCTGCGCTCCTCCTCTCTCTCGCGCATCGTGCGCGCAGACAGGTCGCGGCCTACGAACACGACTTCCTCGTCGCTGCTTTCTGCGTCTGCGGCGCGCGAGTCCTCGACGCGCGAACGCACCGCATCTTCCCACTCCACTACAAACCGTCTAACCTCCCCCTCAAGATGTCTCAGCATCTCCCCCTCCACCTTCCCTCTCCGAATCCTCTCCTTCAGCTCGCTAGGCACACGACCCCTCTCCTCTTCCTTCTCGGCCTTGTTCTTGGAGCGCCGGGATTCAGCCACGCTTTCCCACAAAGGGGCGAGGTAGTAAGGCACCCGACGAACGGGGCTGGTGCTGTGGACTTCCCAATCGCGGGATGAGGGGGCGACGACGCCGGGGACGCCGATGAGGCGGTCGTTTTCCCAGCGCTTGCGGCGGCGGCTGCCTTCTTTGCCTTTTTCGGCGAGTTCGCGGCGTTTGGGGGGTGCGGGTTTGGGTTTGGTGGTTGTGGTTGTGGCGGTGCGCGGTTTTGGGGTTGGGGTAGGGGCAGTGGTGACGGGGTCGTCGTGGAGGGGGATTTGGAGGGGGGTGATGTCGAGATGTTGGAGGGCGTGGAGGGTCCAGGTTTCGATGTCGACAGAGGGTTGTTGGGAAGGAGGGGGGACGGAGCTGTAGATTGCCATGGTTGCGGGTTGGTGGGTGGCGATTGATCGCGAGATGGGGCTGTTGGTCGGGGATTCTGGTGGGTTGGGTGCGATTGAGGTGATGGAGGTGGTGACGATGGATGGGAGGAAGGGGTGATAAGGGTTGGATGTGACTCTTGGAGATATAAATGTGACGGGAGCGTGTCGGGAAGGGCGGCGATAAGGCCACAGTCCACAGCCGCGTCCCGGTGTCGTGCGTTTCGGCCAATGAGAGTGCTCACGGCCAGCACGACCTTGGGGATCAACCACCAGGCTGTAAGTGGTCAATCACTATCAGTTAGAAGTGAGATCTGATATTGAGAGATGATTTGAAATATATTTAATTATTCTGCTCTATTTTACAATATTTAACACCGTATGTATCCCTCTCACTTATTTATCGTCAGCTCGAAACAAGGCCCCCCGAAATTATCATCCGCCTCCGCGCGCGACCTCTCCCGCCTCAGCTGCGTCGTTTCTCTCCAGATACGCTCAGCTATCTCCTCGCGATCCGCGAGCGTGGTGATGGTCCCACGTCTCTGCATAGGCATAACGACAACTGCCTCCTCGTCGCCGACAGCGACCTCGCCTTCTCCTTCACCTTCAGCTCTTCTTCTCTCGAGAGTCTCTCCCTCGCTCTCTTCAAGTGCTGCAGCTATTGACTCCGCGATCTTGGTCTGGAAGGCCTTTTCCTCTCTTTCTAGCTCCAGAAAGCCGTAGTGTGAGCGCCTGTAGACACCTATCGTGCTGAGTGTCAGACTGGATATCTCATACGCGAACATGACGGGTAGTGCGTAATAGAGAGCCGGGTTACACCCGCGGGACCATATGTCGACGAGGACATTGTACACAGCGTGCGTGGGCAGAGCATATCCCCAGTGGTAGAAGCGGGGTGATAGAGCGAAGGGGAGGAGGATCGAGGTGAGGTTGATCATGATCCAGGTTACTAGCGCCATAGGAACAACGGGCGGAGGCAGCCATATGCTGAAGATATCGAAGGTGAGGAAGTTCAGGTGGGCGAACAACCACAGCGTCATCCATGTCAAGACGAACTGCACGCCATTGACGTTCCAGCCGGCGCGGAAGGCCCAGATGGCGCCCGTCGTGCAGAGTGAGCCGACGAAGGTGTACAAGATGGAGATGATCAAGCGGACGGCGATGATGCGGAAGGGGCGGATGCGGCCGTAGATTTTAAATTTGGCGTAGAGACCATTGATGGTGCCGAGGTAGAAGAACTCCTGGAGTAGGATCAGGATGATCACCAGCGTGTTGTAGATCAGCCGGGAGCCCTGGGTGGTGGGCTGGAGGTTGAGGGATACGAGCTGCCACGGGTTGTAGAAGACGGATACTGCGGCTGCGTCACCTGCGGGTAGCGTCTGGAGAATCGCAGCGCCGTTGGTGGCTGAGTAGGCTATGCGAGCGGCCTCGGACAAATCTTGAAGTTTGGCAGCGACGCTGTCGGCCGTAGTAGAGTAGCGGGCTTCGTTCCAGATAAAGCTCATGACATCGCTGCGGTTGTAGGAGGATGACGCGCTGCCTCCCGTCAGACCCTCAGTGAGGCGGTTGGAGGCACCGGGTGAAATGTAGAGCGCCGCCCAGAAATCAATGTGGCAAACTTTCTCTTCAAGAGCAGATGGCTGTGAATATTGCTGTGGAGACAGCTCGATGAGCCCTGGGAAGCTATCCCCTTGAAGCTGCTTGTACGCGTCGCGCACTGCGACTCCTATGGCGCCACCGTCGTAATCGACAAACGCGACGGTGAGGTTATGTGTATGGCTAGTTTGCTGGTAAAGAGAGCCAAATATGTAGCAGAAAAGGCCGAAAAATAAGACTTGGAGGATGATAAAATTACCCCCTATAGCTTTGAATAGCTGAAGCCGGATATCATGGAGGGTCGGGTTCGTGGAACTCAGGCGCCTTTTGGGCTGCCTGGCATGAGGGTAGGGATTCATCTTGAGATTGGCATAACCAGGCTCGCATATAGACGAATATAAATATACGAAAAATTATCTATTTGCCCTTCATCATCGCGGTTATGACACATCTATGCCATAAAATGAGAAAGAAACATTTTTCATGTTGGTAAGCCGACGGACGTTCGGTGTTCGGCACCAATTTCGTAATGCCGATGTTGACTGACTGGTGTGGGGTGGGACTGTCAAAACCCGTCGTTTCCGCGCGCTAATTGCAGGGCGGTTTTCGATGACGACAATCACTAATCTAGAGTTGCTCAGCAATTTGAGCGGATGGAATTTATATCTTTGCTCTATTTATGAGTAATAATATGAGATTATAACCTTGAGTACTTGAAATTGAGACTCTTTATTATAACTACGGTTTTATAATTACTTTGTCTGGTCGGTCCGTCCCTGTTCGAGACTTTTAGTCGTCAAGAGTACTGATATCTTCCTCCCTGATATCTTCCTCCCTGATATTATAATAAAAATATGCTCTTTTTATAAGATAATAAATGAATATTTAAAAAGCAGGCAAGCGGTGGCAAGTAGCAGTAACCCCGGATAATAATAAAGTCAACATATTCATTCTCATATCAAGAAACTCCTTTGCCACCAAATAGGATCCACGGCACTCAGCTATGATTTGGGTCAAAGCATGGCTCTATCGTAATAAATAGGGCTGACATAGTTGAGCTCGCAAGTTGATAGAACGGACAATCCCTAACAATTTCATCAAACGTTCCTCCTCTTCAGTCAACCCCAGCAAAGTTGTTGCATCTTCTTGGAGGGGTATATCAAAAGGTCCGTACCAAGGGTTGAGGTAAGAGAGAACTCCAACCTCGAAGAACCTTGGATAAAGCCCTGCATCGTTCCAGTTGGCAAGAGAAATAGTGTCATCGTCCCTGAGAATCACGTTCCGTCGACATAAATCCATATGGCACAGAACGAGGGGGTGGCCAGTGAGATCTATTGACTTTTTCATTACCGCGAGGCGTTTGTTGAGGTATGCGTTAAAGCCTGGCACAGAAGGAAATTCAACGTCGGCACCATCATCACCAAAAATATGGCCTTGTGCAAGTCCACCGCCTATAGGTCCCGGGACCTGGCCCTGTATTTGGCCAAGATGCTCGATAATCCGGGCCATGCGGGGAATGATATCGGGTCTTATATCAAGGTAGATCTGTGCGAGCGTCGGCCCTTGGACGTACTCCGTGAATAGGTAGCCCTGCCCCTCCCACTCGAAGAAGCGATAGACTCGAGGAACGTGAACGATCGTAGGATCAGCATTCTTGTTCGCAAATTCCTGTGTTCTAGCCTCTGACGCTGTCACGAGGCCCCCGATTTTGACTGCTATGCCGTCTGAGATCTTGACCATTACATATCCTCGCCCGTAATCACTATAGTGGCCATTCTCTTTCCTAGCTTTCTTGCAAACCTCAACTAGCAATTCCTCGCTGGAAGTATGTACGTTCCAGGCGATGGCCTCCATAATGTAGGTGGAGTATGAGTATGTTGAGTTTGGAAACAAAAGCGGAGGTTGGAAGCTTGAATCGTGCAGGTTGGATCATGCAGTTGGACTTTAGCGAGGAGGCGCATAATTATATCAGACATGAGTGATAACGAAATCTAAGCAGACAGAATTCATTACATTAACCTTCACAAAACACATTCGATCTGAAAACAGCAAGTGATATATCAAGACGGTGATTCAATTCGTATTTTCCAAACCTCCGATCCAAGCCATATCCAACACCGACACCCGTAACAATATCCAAAACACGGGCAGTACGCCACTCCAACAGACACGCGCAATATGCAAAAAGCCAACCCACAGTCGTCACCAGCACATTATATGTACAACCTCTCACAGTCCCATCCATCCCATCATAATCCTCCTCTTACTCAACCCCCTCAACCCTCGTCAAAAATTCCCTCACGCGGCCCAACTCCACATCGCCCCCCTCGCTATCTACAGCCCTCCAAAGCCCTTCAAGCACATCATCGATCCTCTCCTCCGGCACCCTCGTACACAAGCTGATAGTCTTGCGGTACTTCACCTCCAGCTCGCGGGATTTACTCCTCAGCTCCCCCACCGCCCTCTCCAACCTCTCATTATTAGCACGATATGCCGCGACCCTCGCTCTCAGCGTTCCATGTCCAGGAATCGTCGCCACAAGCGCCGGATTCCTCAGCACCTCATCCGGTCCCACGTTCTCGGGCAGGCAAGCAAACGCCACGTCCGCCTCGCCGAGGTACATGTCCTCGCTCTGCCCCGCCAGCGGCGTGTGCTGCGCCTTGATCTGCTGCAGACGGAAGGCCTCCTCGTCGCCTGCGCGACGGAGATTAGTGATCTTGCATTTACGCTCGTCGCGCGCCTTGGCGAGATGCTGGAGGCGCTCGAGGCGGCGGCGCTCTTCGCCGAGGTGGGCGGAGGAGGAGCGTAGCTGGGTGTGGATGGAGTCGATGGCTGATTGTTTGGCGGTCATCTCTTGGGCGAACTCGGCTTCGGTTTGGGAGAGGAGGGTGGTTATTGCTGTGGGAGTTAGTTATGCACGTACTATTGTGGGGTAAGGGGGGTGATATGGAGACTTACAAGAAATGACATCCCCGCTGTTCTCGCGAGTTGCCTTGTTGAGAGATTTATCTACAGTGGTGCTAGGCCTCTCGCCTACCTCTGTTGGGTCGCCGATGCCAAAGTCAACTGGGCGAAGACCTGCGCGGTTGGGGATACCCGCGTCGGCTCCAACCTCTAGCAGTTGCGAGATGATGCTTCTGTTACCCACTCTAGCGGCAATATTCAGAGCTGTATCTCCCGACTTGTCCTGGGCATTGACAATCTCCGACATGAAGCGTCCGATGCCCATAGATTTAACCGTCGGTGCTTGGCCAAGGAACATCTGCTGGCTACTTGGCGCACTGCCTTGTCGGACGACAAATTCCAGCAGAGACTCGAGGTAGTATTTGCTGGCCTGGCTACGGCCCTTCACAGCGGATGTGACAGCGATATGATGAAGTACTGTTCGGCCACGACCGTCTTTCATCTCAATAGTAGGACCTAATAGCTCGAGGAGATCAGGGAAGGCGCTAAAGTCAAGGTTATTCGTAACAGCACAGGCGCGCATCAGTGCGGTCTCGCCGGCGTTGTTGACTCGGTATATGCTTGCCCCGCTGTTGATAAGAGCTCTTAATAACGGAAGGCGCGCTAGTGTTGCGGCCCAATGTAGAGCAGTATGTGCAGTATTATCAATAGGCATGTCAAGATCTTCCCCTGAGAGACTGACGAAGGCTTCGTGGCGGCTAAACTCATTCCTGGTCTGATCCATAAACAGAGACATTAGAAGTGCACGTTTCGATTCAGCTGGTTGGCTTGACGAAAACGGAAGTGGTGGTAATGGCATTGGGACTACATCGTCTTGTAGAGTGTTTTGAGCATGTTGATGGTATACAAATGAGTCGTTTGGCTCAGTGGGCGAAGGCTCTCGCATATCGTAGAATGCGTCGGTCTGTTGAGACAGGTTGATGCTGGGTGTTTGGCGTACCCGCTTCCTCGGAGGCTCTTGAAATTCGTTTTGGCTACCCATATGTGAGAAGTGTGGGCCATTCTGAGTTGCGTATGCTGAGTCGCCGTTCATGTTGTAGCTAGACTCAGACGCAAAGCTCTGCATGCTCTGCTGAGACCCTGGGAAAGCGTTTTCGTCAAGTTGCTGCTGTGATGACTGACGGCTGAAACTTGGAGGGCGGTTCCCATTGCGAATGCGAGGTGCTGGCGAGTCGAACCTAGCCTTGCTGATCGCCGCGACGGCGTGGGAGGCTGTTGAGGAGATATTCTTGAAAAAGGTCCCGGATTGCCCGCTCAGACGAGCTTCATTCCCAGCATTATATAGCCTTTTTCGGTTTGCAGCCATTGCTTGCTCCTTTGTTGGAGTATCCACACCTCCATGCCCAGCGATCCCGCCATCTTGACCCATATCGTAAGTGAGGAGCGGCCGCAGAATTTCCTCCACGCCATATTGCCTGCAGAACTCCAATCCCTTCTCAAACTTGATCCAAGTGCCCTGGTATTTTCCGTAACCTCCCTGGACCTTCTCATGCTCACCAATGAGAATTTCCTTCTCCAGGACCTTGGTCCTCTTGCCTTTCTCAATGCCGGCAACTTTTAGGATCTGGGTCGCATTGAGCCAGCTATCGTTGCGGCGGCGCATGACAGCGATGCGATTGACTTCCATTTCGTACACATCGACTCCGGAGTATACGGCCTATGAAAGTTAGTACGTCATTCGCAGATGGCGGAAATTGCAACAAACTGAGTATATTTGCGGCGCGGGAACGCTCATGCTTGGCGCATTCTGGTCGGCGAACTGCCTGTAGGCGCCCGGCTGCATCATCAGGCCGTTGCCCTGCGAGCCCTGGCTCATACTGAACGACATTTGTGAGTTTTGGTTGTAGGGCGACGGTGACGGAGCTGGCGCTGACGAGGCCGGCAACACTTGGCCGGTTACCGTATCGTGGTTGCTCTGGTTGGAGGCGAAGGAGAGAGCGCGGTGGTGAGAGTGCTGCGACGACGACGTAGGCCGAGGGTAAGGATTTGACGACGGTGGGAAGGCGGCGATGGTCGTCGAGGCCATGAGGGAGGAAGAGGCCGTGGGGAGAATTGGGTGACTGAGATTGGAGCCGGTCGCGAGGTGCGCGTAGAGGTCCGTTGACTCTAGCAGGGTTGTTGGGACTCGAGTCGGCGCAAGCGTAGGCGCATAAAATGGATGAGGCTATTCGTAATTTACAAGATATTACAACGCGGTACAGGTAGTATAAAAGCAGAACACGTCGCGTCGACCGAAATAGGAAGTATAAGTGTCTCTGGCGTGTGGGAATTTGTGTGGGGGGAGTCGGGGGGGGGGGTGGAGGAGGAGGAGAGAAACCGAGAAGTGACTTCAGACTTGACACTACTCGAAGTACCTTTCTCCACGCCTACGCCCTACGAACATTATAATTTGGAAGTAACGCGTGAAGCGCGACGTGACAAAATTGATAACTGAAGCATTTAAAGCGGATTAATATGCCATATCTTGCTGTATTTATGTCAATATATAGCAATAATGAATTGTATTTTCAATTCTTTATCTGGCATTTGTTTATACTTTTAAAATATTATTTTGCCATTGTTCTCTGCTCACGCGTGCGAGTAACCTACGCGTCACAGTCTCCCACGAAAAGTACGCGGTATAGAATGTACTGCCTCAGGCACCAACAAGCTTTTTTGGCCCATATGTGACCTCCATGGTCAGTATATGGAATATGTGAAACCCAACACGGCAATTGCGATTCAAGAGCAGAAACACCACCCTATCAAGATGTCCTCATAACCAGCCACTTAAGCAACTTGCTTAAGACCAGTTTCTCCCAGCCAACAATGTGGATTTCCACCCCATACCCACCACCACCACGATCATGACCTCTACCACCACCACCACCACCAACCCCACCCACCTCCTCCGCGCCCTCCTCCGCACCTGCTCCTACCTCCCCGACGGCCCCTCACGCCACTACTTCCACGCACACATCCTGCACCGCTTCCGGCACGTCACGACCCCAACCCTTGGTGCCTACCGCGCGCGGAAAACCCTCTCCCTGCTCACGCGAGCTACAAACGGGGACCTCCCCGCCCTCACCAAAGTCCTCCAGCACACCTACGGCCGCGCGGGCCATAGGCGACACACCCTCCTCAATGCCTTCCTCACCGAACAAAGAGCACACGACGATGCCGAGCCGCCCACCGCCGTATCCCCGGCAGTACGCCGCGTCCTCGTGCCCCCGACACAAATCGCACCCATGGGCGGGGCCTTCGTGCCCGCGAAACCGCACGATGCGCCGCCGACGGCCTTTGAGCGGCTCCTTGCCGATCAGATCCTGCGCTATCCCGCGAGGAGTAACCGCACCCAGCTGAAGATAGCGTATGCGCCTATTCCGCTGGAGAATGTGTTCCTGAGACCGACGTCGGCGAAGCGGGAGGAGGGGATGAGGAAGAGATGGTTGGTAGATACGATGGAGAGGATATTGCCGCCGCTGCCGAAGGAGGAGTGGAATCGGTTGCGGGATTTGGCGACGGGGGTGGTGGAGTGGGAGGGTGCGCCGAAGAGGAGGACGCGGGTTGGAGGGAAGGAGGGGGGTGGGGGGTTGCTGAGCGTGGAGTATCTTAAGTCGCCGATTAGGCATGCGCATTCGAAGGTGCGGAAGGCGGAGATTGACCAGCGCGACTGGCATGAGCTGACGCCCAACTATATGCAGCGGATGTATGCAAGAATCTGGGAGCTGTGCCCGAAGGCCCGCTGGGACGAGGAGCTGCGCGACTGGGTATATACCTGGGGCGGGACCAAGATCGCTGCGAATATGGGCGAGCCGAAGAAGCTTGCACAGCGTGATCTGAGTTTGTTTGAAGGGATCGAGGGTCTAGACAGAGCGCATGTGAAGGCGAAAAAGAGAACACCATCTAAGAAAAAGGTGATATCCCAGGAGGATATAGATTCTAGGGAAACAGTCTCGAGCAACGACTAGATACGACCGCGAGAGAACCGCCAGTCGTCCGGATTTTGTAAGATACAGAACCCATATATAGACTGTATAATAATATGTACAATACCAATACCACACCGTACCACCTACTCCTCCCTCCCCAACCTCTCCAACCCCTCCCCCTCAACCCTCATCGTAACCCAGTCATCCATCCTCACCGCCCCAACCGCATCACTCTCATAAAACTCAATACTCGGCGTATTCCACTTCAATACGCACCACTCCATCCTCCCCGCCCCCACTCGTCTCGCCTCCGCCGCCACCTTCCGCAACAGCACCTTCCCGTACCCCTTCCCCCTCGCAATAGGCGTGACATACAAATCCTCGAGATACACGCCCGGACGCGAGCGCCAGGTGGAGTAATTGTAGAAGTACAGCGCCATACCCGCGACCTCGCCCTCGGGGGTGAAAGCGAGGAGCGTGGCGGCGGGGCGGGCGGGGCTTGTGGGCAGAAGCTCGGTGTGGGGGGAGTTGGTGATGGTGGGGGCGAAGGTGAGGGTTTCGAGGAGGGTGGCCTCGGTGGCTTGGACAGAGGAGAGGGCTTTTTCGTAGTCGGCCAGCTCGTTGATTAGGCGGAGGATCGTGGGGACGTCTGGGCGGGTTAGTGGAGGCCGGTGGTGGGGGATTTTGGAGGGGGGGTACCTTCGCGGACGGCGTGGCGGATGATTGCGCCCTCTGGGAGAGCCATTGTGGGAGTTGTTTTGGATTGAGTTGGTGGAGAGATGCTGTCGAGGGGGTCTGTAGTAGAGCAAAGGAAAGAAAGGAAAGTGTTCTAGCGGGGTTGTATTGCTCTTATACGCTCAGTCCGAAGCCGTGCGGGCTATAAAATAGCGGCAGAATCGGCGGGGTCAACCTCACCGCTTTACGGTGTGGCCAATCATGACGTTCGCTTTACGCCCTCCATGGTACTTTATGGGTCCTCCTCATGAATCCTCCTCCTTAGTAACCTATCACATATTTTGAGGGCATCTCATTATTAAACAATTACCGCTTTTAATAATATTCGATGAGAGTAACTAGGACTACTTAAGATAAATAAACTTTCCCAGGCAAGAAACGAAGTAAAAAGGGGTATCATGATAATTACAAAGTGATAACCACCAGGAAACCAGAAAACAAATCCCATCCACGCCGTTCACAGAACGGCATCTCGCAAATAACAATAGGGGCACAAAATGAGCCCTATAAACAAATCGGTGTGCAATACAATAATAATGGCACAATTCCACCTCTTACATTTTCCCTGGCGTCTCAGGGACCTCCCAGATATCATCCTCCCTCTTCGTCTCGCTGCCACTGATTTGCCTCTTCACTGCAAACGGAATAGCGCCGGTGCTCGAGAAGACAGGAAGATCGCCCCTCTTCGCTGGGCTCATGGCGGGCGTTGCGGTGTTGGGCTCCAACCACTTCAGCTTCTCGTCCCGTGGGCCAGCTTTGGGAGTCGGGCCTTCGGGTTGGTAAGGGATGAAGACATTGCTCGATGGAGCTGCGGCTTGTGGATGCGGTGGTGTGGTGGATGTGAAGGTACGAGCAGTAGACACGGATGAAGATCTTCGGAGAGATCTGGGCGGCGAGCTCGTGGGAAGAGGAGCTGATGTGGCTACCTGTAGCTGCTGGAGGCGGTCGGCGATGGAGGGGTGGGGGGTTAAAGGCTCAGGGGTTGGCGGTGGGAGTTCGCTCATGTAAGAACCCGTCCGGGACAGTGGCTGTCTAGGTGGTGTTCCCGGTTGGCCAAATTGAGGCAGCTCGGGAATCCCATGAGCTGTCTGAGATGCTGTCACAGCCGCATCGGATGGTGGCGGTGCTGAGGCATTTGGTGCTGGCATATTAGCTACTGCGGCCGCTGCTGCTGCCTTGGCGTCACGTTGTGCCTTCGTCGTAAGATTTATCTTGACCTTCTTCATGCCGGCTGTCAAACTATCGATGTCTGCATCAGCTGAAGCAGCGGGGGCATTCGTTGGCTGTTGCGCAGAAGTTTGTCGCTGACGGGCCTCGGCAGCGGTATTGGAAGCAGATGCTCTAGGCTTGGTAGCAACAGATGCCCTTGAAGCGGCACGGGCTGTCTTTGGCGCATCACGAGAACTAGCCGGAGCTCTGGTTTTCTTAACGGGTATGGAGGGGCCTCTCGAGCTTGCAGTCGTATTGGGCAGAATGCAACTTTGTGAGCTGCCTGGACGGATTGGAAGAGAGGGTTGAGATGCCACCCGAGCGCCACTCAACGCAGTTGCACTTGCTGGTTCCGTTGCAGCAGAGCTGTTTGATATGAGACTAAGCCTCCTGCTCGACTGCTTGGTAGCCTGCTTATAGCTAGGTTCAGGCTTCGGAACGCTACGTGCAGCTGCCTTGTCGGTGGCCAATACCGCAGCACCAGCAACGGTTCTCCTGCGGCTGGTTCGTGCCACAGCCTCCGCCTTTTTCTCCTCAGCCGCCTTATCGACTGGCTTGGGCGCCTTTCGTTCTCTGAGGCTCATTCGAGTGCTTGGTGTTATGTCAGGGGTAGTGCCAGTGGATGTCGGGGGTGTGAGTAGAGACTGGCGGTCGCGCCTGACACGTGTTGCCTCAGCTGACAGTTCATCAGGCTTGCAGCTCATCGTTTGTCTGTCTGTTGGTATAAGAAGTTTGCTCAATTCATGTGTTGCCGTAGCCCAGCCAACCTCAGGAGCAGGTGGAGAAGGAGGCCGGGTAGGAGGCCTCGGTGACCCGCCATTAAAATAATTGGAGGACGAGCGCCTTAGCTTCGGTGATTCTGCAATCTTTGCATTGGACGCCTGGGTTGGCGAGAAGTATGTTGGCGGAGAGCTGCTCTTGACTTTCTTTGGCTCCGGAGGTGGGGGAGGGTGGACAATCGAATCCAGCAGCTCTAGCTGTGATAATCCCCACCACGACGGGTCGTAGGCTAGCTTAACTTGATTATCCAGATCCTCAGTCTTCAGGCCCAATGCACCGGCGCGCTGGGCAATTTCAAATCCCAGACCAGATGGATCGACCGGTCTCTCAACCACATCGGGATCAGAGCCGGCAAGGCCACTGATATGGCTGAGAACGCCACTCGCCAATGCGCGGTTACTGTACCCACCCTCCAGTACACTTATAATGCGGCCATCGACCGAACAACCCTCCTCTCCTGCGATCCTCTTCACATCGCGCGTAAGACGCGCATAGAATTCTGTTGGGACATTGACTTTATGGCGTTGCATACCAGAGCTTTCCCACTCGCTTGCATCGAAGCCAGCAGAGAGGAATATGGCAGCCTTGGGCTTCAGTGCTGACTGAGACTCGCGGATACGGTCTGTCTGCCCGCGCAGGTATAGCCTCGTCTTCTCCAGTAGAACCATGTACTTCGTCTCATAAAGGTGCCAGAATTCAGCCTCGCTCTTCCAGGGCTGGAGGTGAACATTCCAGATGTTTTGGCCATGCGCATTGTCAATGCAGATACTGGCATTTTTGACTTTCTCCTCATCGCCCATCTCACAAGGATAGGAGTTGATATCGTGAAGACTGAAGTACCCAATAGAGGTCTTCTTCCACGCCGCTGCATTCTTAGGTAAGGTTGTTGCACGAGAGTTGTGTGCCCATGCTATGGCCTGCGACCCGTCGCCATGGTGGAGATCAAAATCGATAATCGCGGCATGTGTGAGTCCATGGGTTAGCGCTGCATGAGCAATTCCAACATGTACGTTGTTCAACCAACAGAACCCTGATGGGTAACTGGCTGCACAGTGATGGCCTGGAGGTCGAATCACAACAAACGCTTGCTTGGGGCCCTTTCCATTTTGTGAACCATTGAAGACTGTATCCACTCCTTCGCAGACAGCTCCCAGAGCGCCTTCCATCGCGTTTAATGACTCGGCGCAAAGGTACAAATCGCCTTCGTGAAGTTGTTGAGGTTCCCCATCCGAGCCCCTATTCATCTGCGGTCTTGCCAATTCCTTCCCATTCATCGCCAATTTAGACTCTGCCGCATTACACATAATCTTCAACTCCTCCATCCACTTCGTGCCATGTACGTTTGTGACCGCAGGAGACGAGAGATCGAGCTTGCGGCTGGTCTTCTGTATGCGAAAGGGTATACTGGGACTGTTCGATGGGTGCCGTCTTGGATGTGGCGCATAGCGGCCTTCTGCATGTCGTTCTCCCAGTCTCACGTATGCTGCACATACGCCCAATATGCTGGCATGTATGCGCTCCGGTCGTTCGACGATCGTACTGAGCCCCGCCCGTGTCGTACGTGGGCGCGAGTATCTATGTCCGTAGCAAGCATCGTGTAAAATAGCAATAGTATCCACCGGTCGCTGTTCGTCGCTCAAAGTATGAAGAGCGAGCTCTTTCGCAAAATATGTGGTCGCTATTGACTCCGCAGTGACAGGAGGCTCCTCCGGGGTGTCGTCCAAGTTCGTATGGGGCGACTTCCCAAACAGATTCTGGCCATTGGCCCTATGCGCCGATGACGATCTCCTGGAAGACGCTGGCGATGGTCGCGTCGGTGTAACCGCCCCCGCATTCTTGAGAGAGTTCATTGACGCTTTGCGCAACAGTGTTGGTGATGCGGAGCGTGTGTCAAGGCTCGCAGTACTTGGGCTCCTCCGCAATGGGCTTTGGTTGCGCCTCTCATTTGTTGATGGTGCCTTTGGGACGCTGGAATTCCTACGAGGTGACGAGATGCGAGGAGAAGGCGGAAGTGCTGTTGCAGATGCTGTGTTGAAAGAGAATTGTCTCATCGACTGAACAAGCGCATCCCCGTTACTGTTTGAGGCAGGTGGTAAAGGCGGCTCAGGCGCTCTGCCTGAGCTGGCTTGCTGTGAGCGATTCATGGCTCGGGAGCAAGCAGTGTTCCCTCGGGACACTTCTGGAACGAAGCTGGTAGTACACAGAATTTCGTGGTGTTTTGTTGTTGTATTAACCTATGACGATGGTTTTGACATGTTGACCCCGGATTTATGCATATGCAAGGGTGGCTGCCGCGTTTATACGCGTCGCGACCGATGTTTACCCCTTTAAATAAAAATGTGCCAATGAGGATGGATGGATGAACCACAAGGAAGCAAACAACCACAGCACCAAATTAAAAATTAAATAGACAGGAAGGCATCCTCATACATAGTACCTGGGTATATACTTCATTGCTCATCTATGCAAGATTCTATCTATATACAGCACGAACTCTACGTCGCGATCACATATTTACATGCTATCCTCCCTCCATTTACTTCTAACCCTCTGCCAACTGTCCTTCTCATCCTTCCCACCCTTCTCCTCCAAGCCCATACCTCTCTCCACCCAGTCTTGGCTCCCCATCTCGCTCAATCTACTCAGAGCTCTCGCGAAAGCAAATCTCTCTTCGTCTCCAGAGAATATGTTCGAGTTCTTCATCATATCCATACTCATTCCCAAATCATCCATCAAGTTGCGATAGACGTCATCGATCGCTGCCTCACCGCTTGGAGTGGCATTACTATCATCACCCTTCGTCAGAGTCTCCTTAACTTCTTCCTTGGACATGAATAGTTGCGCTAGCGGAACGGCTGTGGTGAGCACAAGCTTGGCGCGAGACTCGTAAAGAGCATCGATAAATGTGATAAACCGCCGAGCCAAGTCGCGAGACTTGTGGTTCATGCCCGGGACCTCAGTAATGATGAAAGCATCGTAATGTTGCGCCAGCTCAATATAATCAGCGGCACTCTTTGGGCGGCCAATGAGCTCGTCAAAGGTGAACATGCAAGCGCGTCCGCTGACTCTCGGGACCTGAATGTCGCGGCCCCAGACATGCTGTATCTCCGAGTGTGGCTCATCCGTGGGGCTTCCAAGGAATCTGAACCATTTGTCGGCGTGCGATTGCGCGTGCGCATCGAGAGGCGAGTGGTACACGCCGGACGGGGGACGAGGAATTTTGCGGTAATCGGTGGGCGAGTCGAGGTTAATGACATGGAGGCGGTCCTTCAGGAGACGGATACACGGAATAAACGATTCACGCTGAATTCCGTTCTTGTAAAGCTCGTCAGGGTGACGATTAGATGTGGTTACCAGCACGACGCCATGTGCCATAAGAGATTCGAGCAGCCTATTCCGTTAGCCCAACTCGTTACAACAGAGGTTCTATGCTCACCTCCTCAGAATCATAGCATCGGCCACATCAGTGCACTGGAATTCATCAAAGCACAGAACATTGCCTTTCTCAGCAATGTCCGCAGCGATAAATGGAATCCCATCAATATCATTCCCATGGGTCATCTTCATGACATGGAGCCTCTTATGAACATCCTGCATGAAGTTGTGAAAGTGAATCCGCGTCTTCGAGGCCACGCCCATTGGGAGGGTATCATAAAATAGATCCATCAGCATGGTCTTCCCGCTGCCGACGTCGCCGTACAGGTATAGTCCGCGCGGGAGGTCGGGTGTGATCTCTTGCTTCGGCTTCTCCTCCTCTTTCTTGCCAAACATGCGAGTAAACATTCCTTTCGGCGGCGGGGGTTGCAGAGACTCGATAGTTGGGTGGATAACCGGCGGCGCTTTATAATTCCTCAGTTCGTCATGGAGATGCTGTAAACTTTGGATAATTCCCCTTTGGTGGTCGTCGTCTCGTAACCTTCCGGCCTGTACTCGGTCGTCGTATTCTGCTAAGGGCCCGTGGTCTTCTGGGTTCGGGTCTATAGGGAATTAGTATTATTTTCTTAGTTTGCAATGGAATAAAAGCATACCAGGGTTAGAGGATAAGCTTCTCCTCTGGCCCCCGATGAAGACTGCAGGCCGTATCTGGCGGATGCCCCTCGCCCGCGATGCGACAATCCGGGGAGAACCAACATGGTTAAACCTGCGGGCTTGTTGTCCACATTGCAAACATGCAGAAGCAGCTCCTAGCCGGCGAGCAACTGGAGTTCTTGGTACGTTTAAAGCCCCGCGATGCGCAAGGGAAAGCTGTGCAGCCGCGAGGCTACCACAAGAACGGACTCTTGTCATGCCGACTTCAGGGTCTCCTGGAAGCGAATAATAATAAACGAAGGGGGGGGAACAATTCTAAATCTATAACCGCATAATCCAGAATATAACGCGCTAGAAATCGCAGAAAATAGGCCGTAAGTACAGGTAGAATCCAAGCAGCGGCGTGAATCGGTGTAAACTTGACGATATCCCGGGCCACGGCGTTAAGCATTGCCGAGGAGGAGTAAAATCGCAGCGATTTTTAACTATTCATCACGTGATGTGAGACCCTCCAAAAAGCTCTTATCGATAAGATTTCTTAGCGCAAAAAGATTCGAGGCAGCGGAAGAATATTTGGAAAATGGAGATGAGCCTCGCAGGGTGTTTCTGAGTCTGTTGCGCAACCATGGAGGACCAAACGAATAGGCCTCATAGGCCGCAAAAAGAGAAGAAGAAGCATACTGGAGGTGAGTTACTGTTCTTTTTTAACAATTATTATGTATTGACGCATTATCAGATCGCAATCCAAAGGCTTTTGCTTTTGCGAACCCAGGCCGTCTTGCGAAGACGTCTGCGCGCTCCTCAGATGTAAGTATAAAGCCAACAATTGATTGATCTATTATTATATCTAGATTCTAATTGTGCGCCAGGTGAAAGAAAGAAGACTCCATGTACCATTAGTGGACCGCATCCCAGATGAGCCGCCGCCACGCCTTGTCGCCATCGTTGGACCACCCGGTGTAGGAAAGACGACCCTTCTCAAGTCGCTGGTTAAGAGATATGCGAAGGAAACTCTATCGGAACCACAGGGACCAATTACCGTGATCACGTCGAAGCGCCAGCGCCTTACATTCGTAGAATGTCCCAACGAGCTGGAAGCCATGGTGGACATGTCGAAGGTGGCGGACATTGTCCTGCTTATGATCGACGGAAACTTCGGATTCGAGATGGAGACTATGGAGTTTTTGAACATCCTGTCCGCTAGCGGTATGCCCGGAAACGTCTTCGGTATTCTCACGCATTTGGATATGTTCAAGAAGCCGCAGACATTGAAGGATGCGAAGAAGCGCCTTAAGAACCGATTCTGGAGCGAGCTTTACCAGGGAGCACATCTATTCTACCTCTCTGGTGTCATCAATGGTCGCTATCCCGACCGCGAGATCCACAACCTTTCCAGATTCCTTTCCGTTATGAAGAACCCCCGACCTTTGATCTGGAGAAACGCGCATCCCTACACCGTCATCGACAGCTTCCGCGACATTACCCATCCAACGAAGATTGAGGAGGACGAAAAGTGCGACAGGACTGTCGTTCTATCCGGCTACCTTCGAGGCACGAATTTCGCAGCACAGGGGCAACGAGTACACATTCCAGGACTGGGTGACTACACAGTTTCGTCTATGGAATCGCTTCCAGATCCATGCCCGACTCCATATATGGACCAGGCATTGGCAAAGGTTACTGGGAAGACTGGAAGGAGACGTCTAGATGAGAAGGAGAAGAGACTACATGCGCCGATGTCTGATAAGAGTGGCTTAAAAATCGAGGGAGACACTATCTGGATTACGCGCGAGAAGGGCTTCAATTTCGACAAAGACGATGAGGATACAGAGCGCGGTCAAGGAGAGGGACTGATCGTCGGCCTGCAAGGAGAGCGCAAGCTTCTCGGACAGACTGACGATGGTGTCCGCCTTTTCAGCAACGGAGAATCGATCAAGAACGTTGAGGAAGAGGATACCGGGCGGAAACAGCCAAGAAAGGCTCGTTTCGTCGACAGAGAAGGCGATTCGGATGCCGAGGACGGCGCTGAGGAAGACTTTGAAAGTGGGGACGAAGAGCTTGACCCCGAGGACGAAGCCGAGATCAGCGAGGAGAGACTCGGCAAGGCGTTCAGGAAGGAGAAGGAGGATAAGGCTGGTGGAGACATCGCCTTTGCCGACAGCGATTCCGATATGGGATCTCTCCTTACTGGAGGCGAAAGCGATGAGGACGACGAGTATGATTCCGAGGAGGAGGGCGCACAGTGGAAGAAGAACATGCTTGCGAATGCGAAGAAGATGCATGGCCAGAAGCGATCGTACAGAACTGCTGATTTGGCGCGTTTGATGTACGATGAGTCGCTCACCCCGACTGAGGTGCTGAACCGCTGGAGAGGCGAGATTGAGGAGGAGAATATCGAGGATGACTCTGATGATGATGATTTCATTAAGAAGACTTCTCCTGGGAAGGATGGTGGACTCGCTGAGGATCGGATGGTTCCTTTGTTCGATTACGAGCAGCTAGAGGAGAAGTGGTCTGTTGCAGACAACATCGACGCGCTGAGGAGGAGATTTGCCACCGCGGATTTACTCAAGGATAAGAAGGGCGGCGGCTCCGACGATGACAGTGACGAAGATGGAGATGAGGAGGATTCAGATGATGAGGGTGATGGAGAGTTCGAAGATCTCGAGGCAGACAACGAGGAAGAGGGAGACAAGGAAGACGATGAACCGAACGACATCGAAGCCGAGCGAGAAAAGAATGCCCGACGGAAAGAGGAGTTAAAACTCCGGTTCGAGGAGGAAGATCGAGAGGGCTTCAACAACGACAAAGCCATCGCCCGGAGAGAAGGCGGCGAGGAAGAAGAGTTTGGCGAGGACGACTGGTACGATGCTCAGAAAGCCGTCATCCAGAAGCAACTCAACATCAACAAATCCGAGTTCGAGAGTCTGGACGACCGCTCCCGCGTCAACGTCGAAGGCTTCCGCGCCGGCCAATACGCCAAGATGGTCATTGAGGGCGTTCCCTCGGAGTTCGTGACTCGCTTCGAGCCGCGCATGCCCATCATCGTGGGTGGTATCAACGCGACCGAGGACCGCTTCGGGTTCGTGCAGGTGCGCATCAAGCGTCACAGATGGCACAAGAAGATCCTCAAGACCAACGATCCGCTGATCTTCTCGCTCGGGTGGAGGCGCTTCCAAACGCTGCCTGTGTACTCGATCTCCGACTCGCGGATCCGTAACCGTATGCTCAAGTACACGCCAGAGCATATGCATTGTTTCGGCACGTTCTATGGGCCGCTGATTGCGCCTAACACTGGCTTCTCGTGCTTCCAGTCGTTTAGTGCTAAGACGCCTGGGTTCAGGATCGCGGCGACAGGCACAGTGCTGAATGTGGATGAGTCGACGGAGATTGTCAAGAAGCTCAAGCTGACGGGTGTGCCGTACAAGATCTTCAAGAACACCTCGTTCATCAAGGACATGTTCAGCACGTCTCTCGAGATCGCCAAGTTCGAGGGCGCGTCCATCAAGACCGTGTCAGGAGTACGTGGACAGATCAAGCGCGCGCTCGCCAAGCCCGAGGGTCACTTCCGTGCTACGTTCGAGGATAAGATCCTAATGTCCGACATTGTCTTCCTGCGCGCCTGGTTCCCCGTGCGACCTCACCGCTTCTACAACCCCGTGACGAACCTGCTCGGATGGGCGCCTATGCGTCTGACAGGCCAAGTACGACGCGACGAGGCGCTCCCGACACCACAGCAGAAGAACAGCCAGTACAAGCCCGTCGAGCGCGTAGCGCGCGTCTTCAACCCTCTGCGTGTGCCGCGCCAGCTTGCGGCCGAACTGCCGTTCAAGAGCCAGATCACGCGGATGAAGAAGGGGAAGGAGGAGACGTATATGCAGAAGCGTGCTGTGGTTGTGGGTGGGGAGGAGAAGAAGGCGAGGAATCTGATGCAGCAGCTTCTGACGCTGCGGAAGGAAAAGGTGGCGAAGAGGAGGGTGGCGAATGAGAAGAAGCGTGTTGAGTACAGGAAGAAGGTTGCAGAGAATGAGGAGAAGAGGGGGGAGAGGGAGAAGAGGGAGAAGCAGGAGTATTGGAAGAGGGAGGGGAAGAAGAGGAAGGGTGGGGACGAAGGGGGAGGGGGGAAGAGGGGCAAGTACGGAAAATAGATGGGGGGGGTTGGTGGGGGAGTTGTAAATATAAATACGGGATTAAAATGGAATCGAGTATGGAATATCAAAGTGATGGCCTTCTATTCCCAGATGATGGTAATCCCAGATGATGGTATTCCCAGATGATGGTATTCCCAGATGCACATCGTCGTATGCCAAGAGTTTGCTTGGTTTGCTTGTTTGCTTGTTTGACCTGCTGATGATGTGATATAGTGTATGGTATAGCCTATGGATTAATATGGAGTCGGATGGAGTTAGATGGAGTATGTGACAGATGAGGCTGGTGATTGACCGTGTTGATTGGACTGATAGTGTTGTTCCCCTATCCTATAATATGGCGCGAAGGCGATGACGATGACGCATGTTGGTATCCGTCCAGGGTCTCCACACGCACCAACCAACAATCAACAATCAAGGCCAAGTTACTTTAGTTAAAGTGGTTTGAGAGGCGAGGCCGCGACATCGCGATACGTACTATACTAACTGTAGTAGACTGTACTATGCGATATCCAGCTTCTTGTTTGGGCTTACTCATTCCTCTATCGTCCTACTGTCCCTGGTAGTATATATCTCCCAACCTCACCCTCTTCGTCTCTTTCATTCCTCCATTCCATCTAGTCTCTGATCATAATTACACCTTTAAGACACAGAACAGAACATATCTACACTTCAAACACTACCGTCTCATCAATCATCATGCCTGGATATATCGTGAGGCCCCACCATCGACCCCTCCATGCCTTGCACTCAACTAACCCCTCCGCTCTCAGGTTACCCTCAAGTCCGACTCCACCGACGAGCAAGTCGCTGCGTACGTCTCTCTCACCCGATAATTAGAAACAACACCCCATAGAACAGCATCTAACAAACCCTTTAGCGCAAAGCAGGACGCCGTCAAGCAGGGTGGAAAGATCGGACACGAGTACAACTCGGTGTTCAAGGGCTTCTCGTGAGTTCCCCTCGTGGATTTCTTACCTGGTTTCTAGGAAGCTGGTCGCTGGGACAAGGGCTAATGATGATGGTTTGCAGGGTCACATTCGACGAGGGCACCGTACACACTCTGGATGCCAATGAGCATGTCGAGGCCGTCGAGGCGGACGGAGAGGTGAAGACCCAGTAGAGGAATAATGGTATACGCGCATAGCATACGGGTTATGGTTGAGCGTCAATGATTCGGCGTGGGGGATAAGGGATAAACCATGAATTACTTCTCTTGCTTCACAACTGATGCCGTGAATGTGTATATGAGACATGAACTGGCATAACTGTAACTGTGAGACGTGGTGGTATTGCCTAATCGAGACGCCGTTTGCTTCATCACAGCACAGCACAGCACGCACGGCTCATCACATGCAAGACATACGACACGATAATGCACCGTGCTGACTCTCTGCACTGTACTGTATAAGGCGTGTTGATATTCCCTTGCATAATACCTGTTTATATTCGTTATTACGTTCATCCCCACGCCTTAATCCTCTCTGCTTCCTTTTTATTTATTCCTTATTTGCTTCTTCATCCTCTATATAAACACCCGTTTACCCCGCAATTACATCTCGTGCCTTGTCACACGTCAGCGTCAGACATCCTCCCTTATCGCCCCGATAACTACCCGCCAGCCGACAAAGCGAGGTCGGACCTTCCACTGACTCTACCATAGCTGCCCTCGTCATAATCTCTCCAATCTTCTCCGATTTCAACATCTCCAACTCCCAAGCATCGTCAATGCTTACGATGAAGAAGATACCATGAAAGCTTCAACGCGGCTTTTGCAGACTGCAAGGCACTTTACGAAACACCATGGCCCGCGGGTCCGTCTCCCAGGCTTCCCAGTCACGGCCGACGACCCCATCACGAGCCTCGCCAGCAAGCCGTTACATAGCTTCAGTCTAGCAGATCTAGTCAGGTACAGCTTCCATAACTTCTACATGCCCCTCGACGTACCTCAATTCCCCTTTTACCTACGATACTAACATGCAACCAGGCACGGCCGTCCTCCCCTCTCCACCGAAGCCCTCCTCGCCTCCGCCAACTTTACCCTCTCCCTCCTCCCCATCCGCCTCGCGCACCGCATCCAAGCCCTCCGCAACCTCCCCTACATCGTCGTCTCCAACCCCAACATCTCGCGCATTTACGCAAACTACCAGCACTCCCTCTCCACGCTCCTCCCTTACACAAACACGCACATCTCCTCCCTTGCCGAGGAAGTGAAATTCACGGCTGTCCTCGCGGACCTCGTCGATACCCACCGCGACACCATTCCCACCCTCGCGCGCGGATTCCTCGAATGTCGCCGGTATATTAGTCCGGGCGACGTAACCCGCTTTCTGGACGAGCATCTGAAAACCCGCATCGGCACGCGACTCGTTGCTGAGCAGCACATCGCGCTTCACCATTCGTCGCAGGCGCATGCAGGACCGCCAGGGCCAGAGAGCTACATCGGCGTGATCGACACAGAGCTGAAACCCGCGTCGATAATTAATGCGTGCGGGCACTTTGTGTCTGAGATCTGCGAGCTTAAGTACGGCGTGCGTCCGACGTGGATTATCGACGGGGATCCGGAAACGAAGTTCGCGTACGTGCCTGTGCATCTCGAGTACATCGTCACCGAGCTCCTCAAGAATGCGTTCCGCGCCACCGTCGAGTCAGGTAACTCAGCGCGCCCGATCATAATCACCATCGCTGCCGAGCCGCCGGATGACGATGACGCCACGGACACCATGCTCGATAACCGGCTTGCGGCGCTGCCGCTCGCGGCGGGTCCGCCGGGCGTGACGATCAGGATCCGTGATGAGGGCGGGGGAATTAGCCCCGCTGTTATGCCGAGCGTGTGGTCCTATAGCTTTACGACGTTTGAGGATGGCGATGATATTCCCGCTGGGGCGACGGGGACGGAGAGTGGGATGGATGCGCTGAATGCGATTGCGGCGGGGGGAGGGGTGAATAGCAGCATTGCTGGGCTGGGGTATGGATTGCCGCTTAGTAGGACTTATGCGGAGTATTTTGGGGGTGGGATTGCGGTGCAGAGCTTGTATGGGTGGGGATGTGATGTTTATCTGAGGCTTAAGGGTATTGGAAAGTTATAGGTTCGGTGCATGGCGGAGTTAGCATGAGTTATCCGCATGGCGTTTTGGACATTAGGTTACTATAGCGGTTGAATAGGGGGGAGGGAGGCTAGGAACCAAATTGTATATAACAGTGTCTATAGATGACATACGTGCTTATAGCAGCTATAACACAACTAAGGGGTTTTAATAACTAGCAGACTTAAATAGTAACGTAATTCACAAACGAGTCGCCTACTAAAACACTAAAATGTGTTAACTTAACAAAAGTTAACATACTATAACTAATAGAAGCCTAGTGTTGCCTAAGTACTACTTAGAGTACTACTTAGAGATCTTTAAGTAGAGTACTGTTTTTTAGGCTTAAGTAGAGTAGTACTTAAGTTATTTAGCTTTAGCTATATAGAGTAAGAGTAGAATATACTATTATAGTAGGTGTACTAGTCCTATTAAATCTCTAACATAGGGGCACTTAATTTAGATTCTAAATAGGGAGCTCTAATTACTATAGTACCTTTATTCTAAGGGAATTAAACCCTCTAGGCTCCTAGCCTATAGGCCTAGGGATAACATAAGAATAATAAGTATAATAGACTATAACTCTATATATTACTTTATATAAGAATATACTCCCTAATTTACTATAGGACCTCTAATAACTTAGTTTTATAGCTATATAAACTATTCTAATAACCTAACTAGTCATCTACAAGTAGGACTGTGTTTGTAACACAGGGCGTGCTGACGACGTCCTACCTTCACCTCATTAGCTTTTAGAATATTTATGTTAGTGGGGGGTTTTAGCATATGTCTAAGTACTCTATTTGGATTGAACGGGATTAAACCACTTATAGCGAAGCCTGCCTTGATATTCTTCAGCGTGAACGCTCTTACCCTTGCTGGGCTGTAGAGAGAAATGAAATGCTGCTTGTCGATTGTATTCACGCCTCCTTGCTCCTGTCGATCAACCTGTTCGCGATAGGCGTCCTTTAGCGGGGCAAACACTGCACCGTCACAGGGCTGGTCACTTAGTAGTAAAGGTGGCTACTAGTTACGGTAATAACAATGTATATCTTTTGTAGCCTTGCCCCGGCTCCCTTCCCTAATGCAGCGGACAAGCAGGTAGTGGCGGCTACCTATCCGATGGCCCTAAACCAAGCTAGAGGCTGATTCCCAAATTGTAGCTGATGCCTACCTAGCGGCTGATACTATTGCTGACCCGGTGCCCCATACTGTCCCTGATTCGGTGCTCCATACTGTCCCTGACCTGATGGCCTATACTGTCCCTGGTTCGGTGCCC